TTTGCCTTTTTCTTAATGGTTTGGCCTCCAGATCAATTTGGCATCCAAATCTGACGTCATTATTTTTGGTCCAAAATCAAGTGAAAATGGTGCCCTCAAATATCATATATAGACATAGATCAAAATTACTACCCCCATAACTCGGTCAAAACTCAACCGATTTCCATAAGGTTTGACTTTTTCTTAATGATTTGGCCTCCAGATCAATTTGGCATCCAAGTCTGACAACATTATTTTTGGTCCAAATTCATGTGAAAATGGTACCCTCAAATTTCCTTTATAGACATAGATCATATGTTCCCACCCCCATACCTCGGTCAAAACTCATCCGATTTTCATAAGGTTTGGATTTTTCTCAATGGTTTGGCCTCCAGATCAATTTGGCATCAAAAACTGACGTCATTATTTTTGGTCCAACATCTTGTGAAAGTGGTACCCTCAACTATCCTATATAGACATAGATCAAAATTTCCCACCCCCATAACTCGGTCAAATCTCAACTGATTTTCAAAAGCATTGGCATTTTCTTAATGGATTGGCCTCCAGATCAATTTGGCATCCAAGTCTGACAACATTATTTTTGGTCCAAATTCATGTGAAAATAGTCCCTCAAATATCCTATATAGACATAGATCAAATTTACTACCCCCATAACTCGGTCAAAAATCAACCGATTTTCATAAGCTTCGCCTTTTTCTTAATGGTTTGGCCTCCAGATCAATTTGGCATCCAAATCTGACGTCATTATTTTTGGTCCAAAATCAAGTGAAAATGGTGCCCTCAAATATCATATATAGACATATATCAAAATTACTACCCCCATAACTCGGTCAAAACTCAACCGATTTCCATAAGGTTTGACTTTTTGTTAATGATTTGGCCTCCAGATCAATTTGGCATCCAAATCTGACAACGTTATTTTTGGTCCAAAATCAAGTGAAAATGGTGCCCTCAAATATCATATATAGACAAAGATCAAAATTTCCCACCCCCATAACTCGGTCAAAACTCAACCGATTGCCACGAGGTTTGACTCTTCTATCTGGCAAACCCGCTAGTTTTAAAATATATTTGATTCAAATAACAACAAAACTATTCCGACTAAGCCCAATCATAAATTTCCTATTTATTCCGATTATTTACAGATTCTTTTATATTATTCCGAATTATTTCGGATTTTACTATAAATATTCGTTTCATTTGGAATTTTCCATTTATTTCCATTTTATATATGATTTATTTTTTCATTTTCCAATTTTAATTAATTTCTCTAAAAATAGTATACTAAAATCTAAATTTAAAAATTGCTTTTGTAAATTTTCGCAGCACGTTTTAGCCATTAATCATTTAGCTCTCGAATTTGCCGCTGTCCAATGAACCCGAAGCCATAATTAATGAAATCAAAATCCTATCATTAAAATTCAATAGCGGCGAACATAAATTTCGGGACATTTAATTTGGGCAACGCGACATAATTCACTTTACGCACAATTTTTAATGAAAATGTCAAAAGAGAAGCGCACAACGAAATGTGAAAAACGAAAAAGTTTTCCACTCCACATTCCACTTCTCTTTGTGCCGGCAACAATGGCAACATGCAAATAGCATCTGAAGGAGCTGCAGGAGCTGATGATGATAATGGCGACTGGTGGCAGCCAACGGAAGCGGAAGTAATGCCAAATAAGAAGACGGCAAACAGGGAAAAAGCAGCAGCAGCAGCAGCAACAACACAAAGAAATGGAGAAGGCGCCAACATATAAAAATAATAATAATAATGCCATCATCAATGCCAAACAAGCAACGGAAAACGGCAACTCAATCCAAAAGTATCGACAATGGGAAATTGAAGCTGTCTTGCGGGGGGGTTGGGGCGTGGGCCCAGCCAGTGGCAACAACAAATGATGGAAGATGCTTTAAATTAACAAGCAAATGCAAATAAGCCGCAGCGTAGCTGGGGCCAAGAAAAGGGAAATAAATTAGATAAAGGCAAAAGGCAACAACGCAGAACAACGCACAGGACAACGCCGCGAGCCACGAGCCGCGTAGCACGCGCACGGAATTATAGCGTACAACAGGACAAAGCTACAGCAACAACAATAACAATCAAGAATGCTTAAGTTAGAAGTGACCGACTAGCAGATACCCTGTGCAAAGCATACACAAGTGTAAAAAGACCAAAGCAAAGCGCAATGAAACTGAGACTTTGTTTAGATTTTGGAGAACGAGGCGAGGCAGCGAGGAGCGAGGAATCTAATCTAATCTAATCTAAGTTAATGAAAGATTCAGGATCTGCATATTATTAAAGAGTTCCAAGGTGCCATCTAGGATAATGAAATAGTCAGGATATACTAAAAGAGTTCCAGAATGCATCTAGGCTCTGGCTTTAATAATATCCAAGATTTGCTTAAAGTGAGAAAAATTTCTATAAAAGCAAATAAACTTATTCTGTGCATGATATAGGAGAAAGCTCTACTCAGCTTTTCGTCCCAATCAAAAATATTCGCATTTCGCATATATCATAAAAGGGAAAGTGAGAAAAATTTCGATAAAAACAACATCTGTGCATGATATAGACGACTATATATATCGAATTTCAAATGTCTAGCTCTTAAAGTTGTCGAGATGTTTCTCACAGATGGGACAGGCAGACAAACTGAAGGCCGAATTTCACTAGAACCATGCAGCTTTTCGATCTGATCAAGAATATGTGCACTGTGTGTGGTTGGAAGAACCGCCTCTTGCCTGTCACATACCTTTGCAGAACATCACTATACCCTCTCACACTCAAGAGGTACAGGGTATAACAACAACAACGGCAGCAACAACAATGGCTAACGCAAAAAGGACAACGCGCCCTCAGGCCAAATGGAAATCCATATACTCGTATTTCTTTTGTATTGAAGCAGAAGATTTTGCTGGTTCGTTAAATATACGAAAGCCATTTTCGGTGTGTTGTGGATTTTGGGGGCCAAGTCAAATGTCAATAAGTTAAGTGGGCATGGTCACGTTAAATGGCCGCCAGCCTGTGTGTGACTGGCATCCCAACAACAAGAAGTCGCACGCACACAGAGAGAGAGAAACTTGCCTCTGATAAATATGATTAAAACATATTTCGAGGCGAGTTGATAAATGTGCAAAGTTTTTCTGTGCCTCGGCCTGGCTTAAAGCACAGCAGGCAGCAGCGCAAATCCAGCAGATGCCGATATAAATCCAATTTAGTAGCTACCATAAAAAGTGGCAGCAATTCCAGCGCCCAGGTCTATCCAACTATTTGCATGATAAAAATCTTTCATCAAGCGCCAGAAACAATCTCAGTTGCCTGCCGTCTCCGCCTCAGTTTCGGCTCCTCTTCCTCTTCCTCCCACCCTCCGGGCAAGCCATGATTTCTGCATAATTCGACGATTGCAGCGAGAAGCGGCGGCGGCTTTGGCCTTTGTGTGGTAAACACCTAAAGTAGTAAACTGGGATTTAAGCACACACACCAACACACAAACACACCAACACACACACACACACACACACACCGACGTGTGTCTATAAAAATTTTACGTCGTTGGCAAGGACAAAAACTTTTGCCAGGTCTGCCAAAGGCAACAGCCAATGTTCAAGTTGTGTTGCGGCCAGGGGAGGGTGAGTGGGGGGTTAGGTGGGAAAAACGTTATACAGGATATGGCTTTTATTGCTCTGCGAGCATGGGAAATTGTGATGCCTGAATACATACATAAATTCTGAGCTCTAGTCTGCGCTGCTGTGAAAACCCAATAGGGACATTACGAGCACGAGTCCTACTAGAGAAATCTATAGAATATGTAAAATAATTTTCAGAAAGATTAAAATTTTTGCAATTTTAATACGACAACACAAACACACACACACGCACACAGGCAGCAAAGGAAGGTGTAGCTGGGCAGGACGACGCACGCACACACACATACACACACTGACACACACGCACAACAACTCGTTGCAGGAAGACAAAGTCTCAGAGCAAACAACAAAATTTAAAAGTTATGAGTGGGAGACGCAACTCTCCACCCTCTCTTTGGGTCTATGTTTGCACTGTAATTGTTTTTCGAAAAGTTTTATAAGCAGCTGTGTTTATAGCAAAACTCCGGCATAAAAAATTCCCTTTGCCCGCTTCAGCGAGTCGAAGACAAGAAATAAACTGAGATTCTATTAAGTTTCGTTTAAGGAGTTCAAATTAAATAGACAATAAAAATGTATAAATATCCATATATATATACTCTTTCTCAAAACGACTCCAGAAATGTAGCTCAGTCAAAAATCAGACTTTATTTACCCGAGATATGTCAATTATATTTTTGACTACAGTCAAGGGAGCTTAGAGATATAAATAGCCCGTTCTTATTGAACTCGCAATTCAAATAAAATTCTTTAATTTCCTTACATTTCTGAACAGTTGTTGCCCTCTGCTTTAAATCTCTCATTAGTTCCTCTTGAGAACATTTCCCAATTTTCGATTTTCATTGTGAATTTTTAAACTTGCTTTTCCCCTAAATCATTCTTACCCTACTAAGCCCGTTGGTCACGCTTTCGCCAGCTCGGACTCGAACTAATAACTCAGCCGGGCGTTGTCCCGAGTTTTAAAGCCGCTTAGGTTCATGAATTTCGGCAGCGTCCACTTCCGCTAGACCATCCGCTTATTAAGCAACCCGCGCGAGCTGCTTCCGTTGCCCCCTGGCAACGCAGGTCGGTGTGTTGCCTAGCATATGACCAGGCCCCCCCAACTCTAGAAAATATAATATAAAGGTGCCCCAAAAGAAGACGTTAGGACGCAGCAGCATACAAAGAAATGGAGCTGCCCCCAGCTCCAGGACTTGGCATTTAAGATAAATGATCGCCTGCCCAACAATGCACAAAGAAGAGTCACAAAAACTTTTGGTCACGTTTGTGCTATTTGGCGGCGCAGGCATATGCTACAATGGGGGGGTTGGCTCCATTGTCAGGGGAGGGTGGCTAGGTAGGGGAGGGGCAGCGTCTAGGTTGCATTCACCTTGCCGCAAATTTTAATATGAAGCTCAAGTTTAAAATTCAAGACACATGCAGCAGCTTAAACGTTTTAGAAATCTATTTTTCAAAATGCCAACTCCGGACAGACGGCTGGGCGGATGGGTGGATGGGCGGGGCGGTCACATGTGTGCGTGGAAATTGCCAAACGTTGTGCGCATTTAATTGAAACGTCTGAGCGGCACAAGGCTTGGAGGCGTGGCAAGAAGGCAGCAGGTGAAAGTGTTCGCTCAAAAGAAAAACGATGCCAAATAAACGCCGATGGGCAACAGCAGCGCATATAGGATATACAGCTCCATTTTAAGGCCAGACATGGACTGCAGCTGGTCGAGCGTTCGCTGCGCCGCCTTCAATTTGGTGCAGTGCTCGTAGAGTATTAGCGTGTGCCGTATTATCGTGTGCTCCACCCACTGCATGTGCTCCAGTTGTTTATAAAACTCGCCGAAGCTCAGTGTGAGCATCTGTTCATAAATCTCCGCCAGCACTGTGCTCGGTATATACGTGTCCATGCTGGTAATTACACTGGCGTCCAATTCGGGCAGCTGCAGCTCATCGATTAGCGCTTCGCAGGCGATCAACGTGTCCATTTTTCGCATGCCCTGCAATCGTTTCAGCAGCTGGCGCAAGGACTGCTCCTGCCCGGGCGGCAGTGTGCCGCTCGAGCTATTCAGCGAGTCCAGGGCTGGGCCATAGCTGCCACGACAAATGGATGTGATGATGCCGTTGGCCACTTTGCGCTGCTGTGCTGTTAGTGTGTGTGAAAAGGACATAGCCTGCAAAGGCTTAGCCATGCTCAATAAAAATATACAACTGGCTTTTAGTTTTGTGATGATTTTCTCTTTTCATGTGCTTACCTCGTGGGGCGTGTAGGGTGAATTGTGGAGTGAGTGTGTTTGTTTTCGTTTGTTTACATATTTTAAGAAATTTTGTTGTTTTTTTTGTTGTTTTTCTTATGTTTGAAATGTAAAATTTTATTTGCCAGTGTCATATTTCAGCATGAGCTCAACTCGGCTGCGCTGTCTGCAAAGCTGCTGTTAAGTCTCCCCTCTCTTCATTTATTCGATTGCGCTCTCTGCTAAGCTGCTGTTAAGTCTCCCCTCTCTTCATTAATTCGATTGCGCTCTCTGCTAAACTGCTGTTAAGCTTTCCTTTGTCCTTAATCATAAGATTGCGCTCTGTGCTAAACTGCTGTTAATCATTCCGCTCTCTTCATGTGAAAATTTCCAAGACGAATGCCTTTAATAGAGGATTTTTGTTCTCCATTTTGTTATTATTCTCCATTCCTTTTTGACATACCCTAATTTGTTAAAGTTGAAAACGTGCCTTAAAGTTGACGTTGCCATACCGCTCGATGATGACAGGCGCGACTGCCTTCGCGTTCGGCTTCAGGCCCATAAATCGAGCCACATATGGGCGACATTACAAGTGGCTGCCGTCTGTGCGCCCAATTCAAATGGAAATCAAAGTGGGCGTTCATGAGTTAAACACTCCAGTACAGTTAGAGCTACAGTTACAGCTCCTATGCAGGTCCTGCCAGGAAGTTGGAATGTGACAAAGTCGCTGGCAATGCGCGCACTTGTGGTTTACGACCTGGGCTTCAGCTCTTTTTGCTACTCTTGCCAAGCTCAAGTGTGGCCAGAGGGTGGGCTATAAAATGGCGTAGCGTTTCCGCTCTCGACTGCCACATTGCTCAAAAATTTATTATTCTCATCTAGATGAGTTCATTATTTTGCAGCATGTTGCATGCGGAATGTAAAGTGTAGCAAGTTGAATGTCGAATGCGAAAACAATTTAATTTTATTGTTTTGCACATAAATTTGTCGGTTTGCCATACGGCAGAATTATGCATTGTTTTTCATTGGACTGGAAAAAGGAAACAATTCGAAACAAAGGCTTTCGTTGGCACACACGAAGATTAAATACCCTTTCATATATACAAATAGCAAAAAAAAAAAACACACGAAATTAAAATACCCTTTTCAAGCGTATAAAAAAGAGGACAATAAAAAAGTAACTGTATTCCAGTTTCATACTTACAGTAAATAAATATATGCAAATGCATTTTAATAATATAGAATGCAGTACGCTTACTTGCTTAGAGCTCTTGATTTCTCTCGCTCTCACTCACTCTCTCTGCACATGGATTACGTTTAATTGCCGCCCATTTATCTTCAGAGAAAAAGCTCTCTCTCGACCGACGGTTTTATATACCACCAAGGGTGGCGAACAGGTAAAAATTGAATATCACTTTAAAAAAAATATAAAAAAAACACTTAACACTTAATCGCATTTAACACAACATATTTATTGCAATTGGTTTTCAAAACTATTTTTCACACACGCACAACCGAAACAAAAGATCAAGAGGAGAGACACGCGCTTACACAATTATCTCATAAGCCGCGCCTACGCTTAGCCGGCATATGCACTAATACAAGCATAACCAAGAGCACCGCATTCACAACGCTCGCTCGCGCTCTCTTCTGGATGCGAAACTAAGGTAACGGGATCGAAAGCGTTCATTGCCGTCAATTTATCTCCAGCGAAAAAGCTCTGCGTCAACAATTACGCAACGCACATTCGACCGACGGTTTAATATCCCCACAAGGGTGGCGAGCAGGATAAAAATTAAACATCACTATCAAAAAATTAAAAAAAAAACACTCGGCACATATTAAACGCATTTAATACAACATATTTATTGCTATTGATATTTGAAAATTATTTTTCACATACGCACAACGGAAACGACCGATCAAAGGGAGGAACGCGCAATGACTAAATGTTCTCATTAAGGCTGCGCCTACGCCAAACCAGCATATGCACTAATACATGCACAGCTAAGATCAGCTCTTCAGCTAAATCAGCTCTCCGCTGGATACGCAACTAAGGTAACGGGATCAAAAGTATTAACTGCCGCCAATTTATCTTCAGTGAAAAAGCTCTGCATAAAAAATTACGCAACGCACACTTGTCCGATGGTTTAATATCGCAAGAAGGCTGGCGAGCTGATGAAAGGTGAATATCACTACTAGAAACTGTTTAAAAAACACACTCGGCACATATTAAACGCATTTAATACAATATATTTATTGCAAATGGTTTCTGAAAACTATTTTGCACACACGCACAACGGAAACAACCGATCAAAGGGAGGGACGCGCACTGACTAAATGTTCTCATTAAGGGCGCGCCTACGCTAAGCCGGCATATGCACTAATACAAGCACAGCCAAGAGCACAGATTTCACAGAGCTCGCTCGCGCTCTCGGCTGGATGCGCAACTAAGGTAACGGGATCAGAAGCGTCGCGACCAATGGTGGACATTGCACGACTTCTCCCCAGTAAGTGAGCTATAAGTAATTACTTAAATACGCAATGACTTCTCCCGCTTGCCAGCTGCAGCCGGCAATTCAAAGATATAACGGGATCAAAAGCATGAGAGCAAATAATGTGTGAAGAATGGCCGCAAAAATTATCTCCCACGCTCATTAACTAGCGCAAAGTTCGCTCTCCAGATAAATGCGCTCTCTGCCAGTGCCATGATCCGTGCATACGCTTCTTCTATGCGTTACAAATTTCATGTCAAAATTATAATAGCCGCTAGCAGGGTATTAAAAAAGGAAACCCCTATGAAATCTGAGACACTTGCACATATGTGCGTGCGTGTGTGTGTGTGTGTGTGCGGGTGGGGGAGGCGGGCATAAAAAGTTGCCTGCTGCTCTGCTGGCCATATAATTGAGTCACGTTTGGCCGGGGCTTAGATGCGCCTGTGTAAAATATTCAGATTTATGCCGCGATGTCGATGCGAATTGCAAAAATATATATGTGTATATATATATAAACAAATTGCTGTACTGTGATTTATGTGTGCGATATTCCTGATTGCATATTAGTAAAGTCTGGGATTTGATTCTTTTCAGCCACACATCGAATTTTTCAGCTGAAATGAAATACAGAATGTTTTTAAGTTAAAGAATAGGAAATGTATCTACATAAAATCTGAATTATTATAAATATTATATGAATTAAACTCTTAATTGTATTGAGACTCAGATTCGAACCGGCAACTTCTCCTTAGTTGCGATATGAATAAAAATAAAGGATAATATAGCACAAAATATGATGAAAAATGTGTAATTAGTTTTAGGCAAGATTAATATTAAAAATGTAGAAAATTTGCAATATTGAATAGCACAAATATTTTCCATATTCAGTTGCCGAAAACCCTATTTGAACCCAGGGATAAACACACACACACACACACACACACACCCCAAGCGCATATCACGGCACCCGTTAAGACCACAAATAAACCTATTTTGTACGTTGTTATTAAAGTAATATGCCAAATGCTATGCTCTCATTTTGGCTACGTGTTTATAATGCCAATAACCTGGCAAACCCCCAGCCCCTCCCCCCCCCCCCCTTCCAGCCAGCGGAATTGTCAATAAACAGAAACTAATACATGCCAGAGGTCTGCAGGAGGAATCAAAATGCGTGCTGGCATCCGAGGCAAGGTTCAATGTACATCTACAACGAAAATTTAATTTATCTGTATCAGTTCCACTTGCGCCTGGCTGACGACTGGAGCTGAAAGCCAGTTGACAGCAGGCACAGGAGCTGCCGGCACAGCTGGCGGAACACATGTTTCAACAAATTCATCTGCCATGTCACAATGCGCAACGGTATGCAGAATTTTTGCCACCCCACCCTGTTATTGACATGGATATGGATATGGCTAGGGGAGGCATGCTAGTTTTGGCCAGGCTGCACACACAAGCGCTGCACGTGACAAGACTCAACGAAAAGTGAAACTTTCTGTGTGCAAATATTTTTCAGGCAAACAGCTCGCACTTAAAGCGAACTCCCAACTGGAATCTTCCGGTCTCTGTCCCTTTAAGCTGTTGGTGTCATTAATCAAATGGCGCCCAATAACTTTGCCGGAGCGCGTCAGCGGCTGCCAACCCTTTCAGCCGGCTGCCCCCGCCTGCTGCAGCAGTCCTTTCCAAATACCCTGTGTTCTCTGGCAGAGGGTGAAACGGGGGGTCTTATGAAGTTGTGCAAAAGCGGACAGAAGTAGGTGAAGTTGAGCCCATCAAATATATATTCTTGATCAGCTAAAAACATTCCGTTCGTTCAAGTCCGTCCGCCTGTCGATCTGTCAGTCCTTCCGTCAGTCCGTCCATCAACGGGAACTTCTTGAGACTTCCGAGACATATAGATTATATAACTTCTTGAACTCCAAAACACACCTCAATTAATACCTAAAAAGATTTTTTTAATTGAATGATATGGACTTTTGTTTCGTCAATATCGATAAATATCGATTGTCATGGTCGTGATTATCGATCTTACATGTATTTAAAAGAATATAAAAGCTGGAGACATCAAATGAGACACGCATTCTTTCGTAAACCTAGATCTAAAGTATTTTACTTAAAAAACAACCCTTTTCACTGAGTCCAAAACTTTAGAAATAAATATAACTAGAATTAAGATAAAGATTTGGTAGAAGCAAATACTAAAATGCATTGTTGAAGTCTTCAAAATTGAAAAGCGATCGCACAACAAAAACCCGTTATTGAAGAATAACTTTTACACACGATAGGTCTGTGGCAGCTGTGTACAGGGTATCTGGCCGTGGGGCACGCCCGACTTAAGCAGCCCCACTTGTTAGCTGTTGCCTCAGTTTCAGCTTGTTAGAAACCATTTTTGAAATATGAACTTTTTGAGCCGTTGTTGTTGCTGCTGTTGCTGCTGCTGCTGACGAATGCCGGCAGTCATTAATAAATTAGGGGTAAAAATGCCTGGCGAAGAGGGGAGAGGGGATGGGAAGGGGGGAGGGGGACGGGTCGGTGCCAAAAAGTTGTTTATTTAATTGAAAGTGAAACGAGCGACAACAGATTTGCTTAACTCAATTAAACAAGGGGCCGCAGTGGATCGAGGGATGCTGTGCATTGATTTTACGTTCCAGCCAGTTGCCAGTCAAAATATTAGTTTTAGTTTGATTTAAACACAATTTTTAGTTGGAACCTCAAGAGATGAATAAAATTTTAAGCAACTGGTACGAGGGCGGCGTGTGCCGTGCGCCGGGCCTGCTGGAGGAGAGCGAAATTCTGAGCGCCAGCGACTACGTTGAGTTTGTCGACGAAGAGGAGCCCGATCTGGATCTGGCCTACGATGAACTGGAGGCCATCAAGCGGCGCCTCAAGCAGCTGCTCGCCAACATGCTCCGCCCGACCGCTGATTCCTGCGAGCTGACGGGCACCAGCCGCTCCGCGTCCGAGGACAACGGCAACGGCAGTCTCACGGCCAAACAGGTGATGCTGCAGCAACTGCGACGCAGCAACTCCAAGCTGCGCTGCCAGCTGCGACATCAGACGGAGCATCTGCACAACTCGCGCAAACAGCTGCGGCTGCTGGAGGACATGCGCTGCCAGCTGGGCAACAGGCTGCGGCAGATGAGCGCCCAGCTGGACGAGTTCCAGCAGTTCATGCGCTCCACCCAGCACCAGGCTGGCCTCTGCATCGAGCGCAACGAGCAGATCAAGGCGTCCAAAGTCGATGAGCATACTTTCCTGTTGCTGCTACGCAAGCTGATCATCCATTCCGGCAACAACATGCGCCGCATGGTGCCCATCCGCTGCCACAATCAGCTGCGCTACGATCTCAGCCTGGACTTGATACTCACGCGCATCTTCCTGCATGCGCTCTTCGGCAATATGGTCGAGGACTGGAAGTTCTGCATTCGCCGTCTGAAGTGAGTTCTGTAATCTACTACCATTTACTACTATCTACTACTATTTAGCACAATCTATTACTATTTACTACTATCTTTCACTATCTACCACTATCTACTACTATCTACTCTTATCTACTACTATCTACTACTATCTACAATAGTAGATAATATCTACTGCTATATACTGCTATCTACTACTACTATTTTTATCTACTACTACTATCTTCTACGACTATCTACTTATGTCTACTTATGTCTACTACTATCTACTACTATCAGCTACTATCTACTACTATCTATTACTACCTACTACTATCTTCAACTTTCTACTACTATCTATTACTACCTACTACTATCTTCAACTTTCTACTAGTCTAATACCTACTTCTATCTACTACTCTAGCTCCTACTACTACCTACTCCTACTACTATGTACTACTTGTATTTCCTAATACTATCTACCACTACCAATTACTACTACTATCTTCTACTACTATCTTCTACTACTATCTAATACTACTATCTTCTACTACTATCTACTACTACTATCTACCACTAATATCTACTTTCTACTAATACATTCTACTACTATTATCTACTACACATTTATCTATTGCAATCTATTACTACTATACTAGTATATACTACTACAATTTACTACTACTATATTAGTATACACCACTACAATCTACTACTATATACTACTTTCTCCTAATATTATATATATTGAACTTTTACTACTATTTACCACTGTTATCTACCACATTATACACTACTATCTGTTACCATTTGCTTTTCATTTGCAGAAAGAATTGCCGCGGCGTTAGACTTCGCATGCTTCCGCCCACGGACTTCCCCCCGGTCTATCCCTGGCGTGATTAAAAATGTTGACCCAAGTTTCGGTCATTAATTGTTTCAAAAATGTGCTGTGTTTTTCATTCTGCGTTTTATTGGCTGCGCTTTTGGCTCCAAAGTTTTGGCCTCGTTCTAATTGCTTTTGAAATGTCGCTCAATTAAGATTATTGGCGCTTGGCGGCTTTTATGGCACTCTTGTGCATGGATGGGGCCCGCTCAGTCCTGCGGCGCACTCGTAATAATTATAAAATTTCAGCTTGGCGCATCTGAAATTGCCTCAGATTAATGGCGTGCGCTTTTATTCGAAGGCGTTAAAGTTAAAGTAACAATATCATAGCTGGAAACCACCCTGCCGCCCCGCCTCCCCCCGCGTCACCACATTCTAATCCGGCGTGAAACGCCACACAAATGTACGCATTCCCACCAGGATAAGAAGCTGCAGCTAAATACGAAATGGCATCAGATAAAAACAAAGCAGATTTGTCTCTCACACACAGAAAAATACCCTGAAAAATCCCCAAAAAAAGAAACCGAGCCCCTGACAGCCCGCAGCTTAGCCGAAAGGCAGCCCAACACATTGGCATTGACATTGGGCTCCACATCCTTGTGTGGAGCCTTGTCGAACTGCGTAAAAACTCAATTGCTGCGCATTGGCAGACAAGGAGCACGCGGACACAAACTATGCATCGAGATCGGGTCTTGTTTCGTGTTCCCTTGCTGACTATGCCCGGGGCCAAGGCTACATTGGGTTAAATGCGCCTCAGTCCTTCTACTGCTGCTTCTGCTGTGCTGAGTGAGAGATAGCGCCAAACGGCAAAAGCGAATTTATTGGAGTCATGTCCTGATAAGCGTTCGCTTCAATTCCATGCCAAATTACAATGTTACATGGGCGAAAAACCGATTAACGGCAGCTAAACGAAGGGCGAATGCCCTATACTTGTGCTGGGCGTGTTTGAAAAGCTATATCAGAATATCTAGACTAACTTTACCTTTTTTGACTATTGCATTTAGAATATCTAGACTTTATATGTGCTCTACTTTCTGCTAATAGTAATATCTATATGAATCCTACATAATCTTCCCTGATTACATCACAAAAGTTCTTCCTCCAATATCAGAATATACTCTTGTTTTCTCATACAACCATTTCGTCCTCAATATAAACATTTAATGTATCTAGATATAGAGTTTGAACCAGAATTATTGTTTAACTTTCCAATTTATTTGTTTCTTGATTTGAACCTGATCTCTTGTTCCAATTATCAATATTTACTTGAAATGAATTGAACCAGAATTCTTGTTCAAATCTACCAATTATTTATTTCTTTATTTGAACCAGAATCCTTGTTCAAAATTGTTCAAATTTCCCTTTTTTATTCTTGATAATAATATTCATAAATATTCCTCATCTTAAGTCATTACTTTTAATGAGCGATACAATTATTTAATTTAGAAATCTATCCGGAAAACTTTCTATTAAATATTCTTTTTCTATATCTTAACAAACCGTCTGTTACCCAATCTTTACCTCCTCTTGTTCCTTTATAGAGTTCTTTAACTAAAATGTTATTTCATATGGAGTCTATTCCATATGCAAGCCTATTATAAGCGCCAAACCCAATCCGAAAATCACCCTAATCTCCTTCGTGGTATTGTAGGGTATACAAACATAGATAGACACATCGAGATACGGGCAACATAACACATCAGACTACATGGCTGATACACAGGAAACGCATTAGATACTTTTTGGTACACACTCCTGGCCTAACTGGGCAGGCTGTGTGTCGACTGGGTCTGACTGGGCCGAGTGGACGGTTCTGGACATTCCGGTGGCTGCTGTTGGCCGTTGCGATAAAAATCTGCGTAAAATGATGCGGCAATTTGATGAGCAACTAACTTCGAGCAATTAGTTTGGTCGAGTCGTAGTCGGAGTTGTCGTTCGTGTTTTCCGGCTGCTAAACTGTTGCTCCAGTCAATGAATGGCAACTGTTATGGCAGCTGGAATTGGTCGAGGGGCTCTTCAAATGAGAGCATTTAGTGTTAATGTGTTTGGCAACTGTTTGAAGTTTTGGTGATTTATGCGCCAAGTAAAACTAGAAGCTTTAAAGGTATCTTTGCAGGTTAGCATCACGAAGTGGATACTTGTATGGCCCAGAGCGAGGCAATGCTAAAAATTGGAAAGCCTCTAACCAAACGTGACAGTGGCTGCGAGTGGGAGTTGGAACTCAGCACATTTGCCTTTGGGCTGTTTTTCAGCTGTTTAGCAGCAATCTCAAAGATACATTTCAAGTGCTTAAGTTGCTGCTCTGTGCTCTGTGTGTGTGTGTGTGTGTGTGCCCGGCCGCAAGAGTACAAATAATTTCCATTTGGCCAAAGGCAGCGCCAACATTTGCATTTATCTTCAGCTCTGCTCAGCAGCACCAAATAGACAAACATGCCTACTGCCAGCTGTAACTTTCCGAGTATTTGTATAGCCCAGAGAGAGAGGGAGAGAGATAGAGAAGGGAAGAGGGAGGGAGAGGGAGAGAGAGCGGCAGATATGTCTACTTATAAATACTTTGTGGACTGGCACACAAGTTGTAGATAAATATGGCATAGATTACATAACTAGTTCTTGCAGCCGAACAATAAAAAGTTTTCACCCCCTACCCCTCCCTGCCTCCCTTCCTCACTCTCCCTCACACACTCTCTCTCTCTCTCTCTATATATATATTTAAGCGTTTATCTATTTTCCTAGACGCTTTTCCTGTGCACAGTTATATTTATGATTTTTCTTGTACTCCACACGGCGTGTGCAGCATTCGTGTAGCACATTTGTCCAGCGCAGATGTCAGGGCGCCGTGGCTTAGTTGGTTAAAGCGCCTGTCTAGTAAACAGGAGATCGTGAGTTCGAATCTCGCCGGGGCCTTCACACTATGGCAACAGTTGGTTGACTTTTTTCTTTATTTTTCTTTTAATAATTTTCAATTGGAAATTAGAAATTTTGAGTCAGCCATTTATTGTTGTTTCCTTTTCCGCCCCATGTTGCCTTTACTGTTATGATTTTCTCCTATTTTCTTTTCTATTGTTGTTGTTGCTTGTTGCACGCCAACTGACGCACTCGCCCATTAACGTGACTCCAATTGCCGCAATAATTGTTTCCATTATCGTTAAAATCGGTGAATATTGCGCCGTGCCATGAACTCGTACAAGTTTTCAGTGCCGGAAAAAAAGCTTCAGCAGAAAAAAGCTTTGCCTATTTTTAGCTTTTTTCAGACAGGTACTTTGCCTATCACAGCGACAGCTGATAAGCCCAACTATATTTAAAGCAAGTTCTATTTACTGGTAAAAAAAAAATAATAAATCAAAACGTAGACAAGTGAGCTTGTTGGGAACATACCCTGTAAAATGTATGTTACTTCAATTAAAGGCAACATATAGACCTAACATTTTATTTAAAGATTATTACGAACATCTCGAAATTTATTTATAGATTCTTAAACACAAGGTTAACAATTTCATACCTAAATTTAATATCGAAATTTGTATTCATACTTATATATTTTTTTTTAATATTATATTTAGTTTTTTATAAATTTTAAAATCATGATTTTTCAATAATCTTAACTAATAAAAGTACTAGTTTTTATATATTATAAATGTATTTATTTGTATAATATAAATTGTATACATATTTCTTGGAGGAAGAACTTTTTACTGCATATTTTATGTATGTACAATTTTTAAATAATGGGTCGGATATTATTCTATTTTTGTAGATTATCAGAATTGAAACCAATTTTAAATCAAATGTTTAAAAGACTTATAAATTTTAACAGAACTTACAAAAATAGTGTGGTTCTCTATCCATAAACAAGCTTTTTTCCTTCTTATACCCTATAAATATGCCATATAAAATGCCTCCCATTATTTATGTGTTGCACTTAAGAAGTCTAGTAATAAAACATTCTACTTCTCAGATAACTAACAACAAAGCAACCCACAGTCACGGCAATATTATTATCTGCATTGTTTTCAATATCTGTACGAAAAACATTTGAACAAATATTAATTTAAACAATGGACTTCTGAAGTACTCAGCTGTCAGAAAGCAAGAGAACTTCGCCGATAAGTTCTCTAAAGTTAACTATTTTTACCGAGTGAATCAGAAGGGCGCCGTGGCTTAGTTGGTTAAAGCGCCTGTCTAGTAAACAGGAGATCGTGAGTTCGAATCTCGCCGGGGCCTGCAATTGAAGAGTACGTTCTCTTCAATTTTGTATTCTTTTTATTTTGCTACAATTTTAACTACTTGCTAAGCACAAATACTCTGAAACAGTCCTTAACCTATTATAATTTCCAACTGGTTTGTGCCGCGGCTGTTCAGCTTTTACGACAAGCTTTACCGAAAGCTTGCACAACTTTCACAACTTTCACTCGCAGCCTAGTCCTGATAGACCAAATACAAGACGACAATCATGAAGTACGTGGGTCGCTCGAAAACCAGTTGAGTAAAATTATCCCGCTTCTCGTCCATCAGATGGCACATCCGCTGATAAATGCCCTGGTTCTGCTTCTCGGCAATCGACAGCAGGCACACAATGCGATGACTGTGGAATATGTAGATGTATGTATGTGTATATTGATAATGGGGTCATTTGGCTGGCTTTGTGGTTGGATTATAATTTGCAACACTCACCGCCTGTGGTTTAGCTTCTTGACCCGGTCTCGTATCTCCGCGGCCAGACTCTCGGCCAGCTGGAGCGCGCGCCAAGAGTCATAATTGCGACTGAAGCGATCCCACAGCAGACGCTCCTCGATGCAATCTTCGATGATTTTATGGGCACGTTCCATATTGAAATTGGTGTGAAAGAATTTCCAATCATTTTTCGGCTTCTCCTTACGCTCGCCGCCCACCTCGCCGCCCACCTCGCCGCCAGCGTCGCCGCCCTCGCCCGCGGCGCTCTGCAGCGCACGCCGCCGGCTCAGCATGGACTCCGAGAGCAGCGCATTCATGCGATTGGTCGTCCGCACTGAGGCGGTGATGCTGCAGTTGAAGAATAGAAATGGGAACAGCTCAAGCGTTAATTAAAATCTCAACCAGGACACATACCGCGTCTTCATTGCGCTCCAGCTGGACGCGCCAGACATGGTATATATGTAGATAGTATAGTCGGGAGTTTTTTATATTCAACAAGGAAAACAAATTCCATGCGCTGCTATCTGCACACTGACAGCGCAGCGACGTCAACAACAATGACGATGTCGGCACTCTGACATGCCGACACGACCAGCAGGTCTATCAACCTGCCCCCTTCCCCCCCTGCTGACCCCCGCTGGGGGATCGGAACTTTGTTGGTTTTTGCCAAACTCTTCCGGCTCGCGTGCCGCTTATCATAAACCCAATGGCAGGCGCTCCAATTGCAACAAACGACGACGTGGGTGTCATCGCCAGAGCCGGAGCACAATCAAAAGTGTTGCCATATGGACGCCCCCCCCTCGCCCTCTCTCCCTCTCCCTCTCTCCCTCTCTCCCCCTTTCGACTTGGCACGCGAAGCCTTTCGAGTCTTGATGAGTTTTGATCGGTTTGTTTGGGACACCTTTTCCGGCGGCACCAAATCGCGGCCATTGTGCGGTTTACGGGCACAGTTCAAGTACTTTGATTGCATTTACGACACTTTCAACTTCCATCTAATGCACACCACGCAAAGCGTATTCAAAGTTCGTGCCAGCGCTAACTGATAGTTATATAGTCAATATTTATGATGTTATTAAATTAGATTTAGCCGCAGAGTCACGTGCGTCGTAACAATTCTCTTCCAAATGGTCGAGCGGCGGGCTCTAATTGTGTTGGGGTAGTCCATGGAATGCATTTTCAAGGCATTCCTTATGCCGCACAGCGCCGGGCAGCTGAATAGAACAGGTGAAAATTGCACGATTTCAAAATGGTTTAGTTCATTGATTTAGTCTGTTCGATTATTGCTCTCTGTTTATTTTGTGTCTTCTCTCTTTTCTTTCTCTCAAATGTTCTTTCTTTTCCCTCGTTCCCTCTCGCTCGCTATGTCAGTGTCTTTCCCTTCTGTCTCTGTCTCTCACTTTCTTACCTTATCAATGTCTTTCTCAATCCCTCCTTGACTCTCTCTCTCTCCCTTTCCCTCTCTTTCTTTATCTTACTCTTTCTCTATCGTTATCATCTTTTGTTGAGCTCTGTTTATTGTAATCAATCCTTCCCCTCTATTTTCCCTGATCTATATTTCTCACTGACTCATTTTTTTCTCTCTCTCCCTCTCTTCTCTCTCTCTAGGTATCTCTATCCTTCTCTTACTCTCCCTCTATGTCTTTTACTATCTCTCTCTGATCTTTATTTTCTTCAAAGTATCATTCTCCCGCATCCTCTCTCTCTCGCTTTCTCTCGCTCTCTTTCCCTTACTAAGTATCTCTCTTGATCGCTTTTAATTGCTATCTATCCTCTTCCTCTTTTATTCCTGATCCATATATCTGGCAATCTCTCTGCTCTCTCTCTCTCTCTCTCTCTCTCTCTCTCTCTCTCTTTCATTCTCTCTTTTTCAAACATACATTTCTTTTCAAAACGTTTTATTATATTATTTATCGAGTAAATCTTGAACCACTCAACCAAGAAAACTTAAATTCATATTAAGTTTCCCATTTAAACTTTAAATCTTTTAATTGTTGACTCCTGTTGCTCTGCGCATAAAGATTTGACAGCAGATACGATAATTGGATGCACAGAATCGTCTATTTGCCGGGACGTCTATAAATCTTTTATGACTCAAGTAATAAAGATGTGGAACAACTATAGCCGAGCAGTCCCATAAACCAAATCCTACGCGAACCCAGCAATAATTGGTTAGAAGTTTAACTGTAATTTCTTTTACCTTCGAAGGGGAGTTAGGGGGGAAGGGGGGTTACCTGGGGCTCACTAATTGCCGAAAACTTTACGACACGTGAATATGTGCCAAAATTAAGCAGCGACGCCGCCGCCGGCGGCAACAAACGGTGGCAACAAATTAAGCAATTTTGTTGCAGGGACGTGCGGGCAACACTTTAGCTTTGATGGGGCACACACACGGCTTTTATATATTTGCATAAACTTACGCTTGCATGCGACTCATGAGGCGCCTCCAACTATGCTACGAACTGAGGCAAGTTAACCGACTGCCGATTGCGATTTAGTTAAACGGGCAAAACTGCACGTGAGCTCGTCTCGAATGTGACTGGCATTTGGCTTCCAAAAAACATAAAAGCGCACATGGCCACAAAAGGCGAGGCACACGGCTCTAACGGTACGACTAGAAGGGTTAGCAGTGGGCGTGGCAGTGGCAGGGGCGGGGGCGGGGGCGGGGGCTTTGCCCCAGTCCTGGTTGGTATCTTCATGGCGTCTCGCTTCGGTTTCAGTGGCATGTCTAAGGACAACTCTGACTTTTTGGTAGCAGCAGCGCCTCATGTGTGTCTCTCTCTCTCTGTGTGTGTGTGTGTGTGTGAGTTGTCTAAATTCTATTTATTTTGAGTAATTTAGTTTCTATTTGATGCACCCCACACACACACACACAGACAGCTGGCCGTGAGGCAATTAAAAACTTGGGTTACAAACTGTCGACAGGGCTGCATGCAAAACCGTTTACTCCGACAGCCAGTACAGGTGAGTGTGTCTCTGTGTGTGTGTGTGTGCGTGTGTGTGTAAGTTCGCGTGCCACATTCACGTTGAAACATGTCCACTTAAGAATTGCATTTAAAAATCCACAAAAATCGGAACTATATATATGCCATGCGCGCACCGTTTAGCTTTGTTAGACAAAAATTGTTTTGGGCCAAAAGTTGCATTTGACAAGTATTTATAAAAAATTTGTTAGTTGAGTGAAGGTGAGAAAATGCGAAGAGTTTGACTCAATTCTGAGCGCTGACAATTCATAACTTTTCCAACTATGAAAAGGGAAAGTTTGGAAAGTTTGAAAAAAATAAAACAAAACAAAACTCTCGACTTTATTAAATAAAAGCAGGGTAGCTTTTAAGTTTAAACATTAAAATCTATTAATGCGAAAGCCTGTAAATAAATCTAAGCTAAAAAGATTTTGAAACTTAATTTGTAGATATTTTAAATCTTAATAATTCCTCCTTCTGAGCAGCTTTAGGTTAAACACTTTACTAATTTCCGGGCATAAAATGTAAGCTCAAATCTGAAGTACCTCAAAACTATAATAATAAGATATATATAAGGTGTTATATCCAAAAATATTTTTCAATATTCTTATTCTTCTAGAGGGCATGTTCTAGTCAAAAGTTCGTAAATCAATTCCCATCTGTTTAGTTATTAAAAAATCAAAAGAGATTACAAAAGTATTCAGAAATTTGCCCGATAATAAAGGCTGATTTAATATGATATATATATTCCTAAAACTAACTAGATTATATCCACAAATGTTTTTCATTTTTATGACTCTTCTAACAAGGCAAGTTCTAGTCCAAACACCTTAACTAAATCAATTCCCATCGTTTCCTATAACCTAGATTAGATTATGTTTATAAATTTGATATAAATAACTAAAGCTTTTTGAATGTTGTCTCAATTGGAATTCTGTTTTGTAAACTGCGAATCATTCGGTTTCCAACTCCAGCACAGGCTAAGGCCAGACAAAACTACCAATAAATAAATAATTAACTTAAAAAATATTTTATTTTGTATCTACTCAAACATCTTTAACATTTCGAAGTGTGACATATAGTAGTAGTACATGTTGTTAGTATTTCGGATATATTCTAATATCTGGAACGACGTTGCTCGTTGTTAAAGTTGATGCCCAAAATGGTGGCACACACGAAGGCGGCAGCCTAAAATATAATTAGTAAATGAGTCAGTTGGGTTTTTAGTTTTTTTTTTAGTTTCAGTTGCTGAGTGCGCAAATAGAGTAGATAAGTGTACTTACCTCAACGGCTATCAAAATCCAGCCAAATACCCTAACGAACTTCAAGGCCTGCTCATAGAAATCGATCAATTTGTTTAAGCAGCCGTCGGGGTAAACCGTGTGCGTCGATGTGGTCGAGGTGCTATTGGTGACATAACAGCTCTGCGGGATTGTGATATTGGCCTTGGTATAATCGATGGGCCCGTTGATGCCGCAGCACTTCAGCTGCAAAGGGCACAAAAGCATATGTATATAGAAGAAATCTCTGGAAATCTTCAAGAGCTTACGTTCGTCTGATAGACGGCCATGGCATCGGTGCCATTCTTCTGCTTGTCCCAGGCCTGGTTCAGCTGTTCCCGCGACAACGTCTGCTCATCGATGCGCTTCAGATAGACAAAGCACAGCACGCTGCTCAAGATCAAGATGATCAGCAACACGACGGCATACTGAGCAGAGATATAAATTTATGTAAGATATGTAAGTGTTTTATATGGATTCGTTTACTCACCATCCAGGTGAGGCAGGTGCTTTCCTTGATGGCGCCACAGCAGCCAAAGAATGAGATCAGAAACACAATCGAGCCGGTCACAATAAACAATATAATTATGGGGCGTGTCTCATCGGCGACATCTTTCAGTGCAATCGAATTAACCACAATTACGCTAATGCCCAGTATCTGAAAAATCCAACAAAATTTCAGTTATGAAATAACATTTCGTGCCACTTAGATACGAATGGGACTCTATGACGAACCGCAACAGGTAAACAGCTTAAAAAAGTATTTTTTTTGCTTTCTAGTGCCGCACCCAGAGCCGTATCTCTATGTACATATATCTGTATACATATATGTACATATGTGTACTATGTACACACGCAGAGCTCATACATCATGTATACGCTTGAATTCCGTTGATAAACCAACTTCGCTGAACTTTGACGCTGACTAACTGCGACGCAGAGTTTTCCATTCCCCAATTTCTAGAATTTTTGTTACTCACCGCGCAGAGAGCATTGAATATGAATACCAGATATTTGATCGTAGCCGTTGCACAACCCATTTCACTTTTGTTCTATTTCTATATAAAAACCGATTTGGTCAAAACAATTGTTAATACTGCACCACCAAAATCGAATCGTTGCACGCTCGCTGACGACTTTTTTTAGACTGAATTACTAAAAAAATATACAATTGTCGACAGTCGCTTCACCGGCGGTTAGTTGCGATAAAAATTCTACGGGAAGTTTTTGTTTGACGGCGTTGAAAATAGAAAAAAAAATTAAATAATAATAACGATAATAAGCGAGTCAGACATACACTGCGAGAAATGCCATGGTACCTCAACTACCTAAGCCCCAAAGACAGTGCTTATCAGCAGGGTTAAGAGCTCATATCTGGTTGACTAAACGTTACGTGGGGGTGAATCGTTAACTTGACTGAGCTATGGGAACTAAATTTTATGTACTTTGTAGCAAAAACACGCCCATAAATATGACTGAGTTATTTAAATGGCGAAATACCCACACCTAAGGTGTATATTTGGTTTCAATTGCGGGTAAAATAAAAAATTCAGGTGAAATGCAAGTGAAATGCAAGTGAAATACAAGTGAAATGCAAGTGAAATACAAGTGAAATACAAGTGAAATGTAAAAACACTACAAGTGGAATGTAAGTGGAATGCGGGATATCCCTACCTGAGGTGTATATATATTTGGTTTCATTTGCGAGTAAAATAAAAAATTCAGGTGAAATGCAAGTGAAATGCAAGTGAAATACAAGTGAAATTCAAATGCTCTAAAAGTGGAATATAGGTGGAATGCAAATGAAATGCAAGTGAAATACAAGTGAAATGTAAAAGCAATACAAGTGGAATATAGGTGGAATATAGGTGGAATGCAGACGAATACTTTGGAACATTAAAAAGGCTACAGGCTCTAAGTGACATATAAGTGGAATATAGGTGAAATTGTACTGAAATGCTGTGAATTATAATAACCCACATGTCCTACGTAAAACACAAGAAACACATCAAAACGCCAGTAAGCCAGAGGGATTATATGAAATGCAAGTGAAATTTAGATGGAATAAAGGTGAAATACCATGAAACATTATGTGCTTAAGTGAGCTACAAGTGGAATTCTTTGAAGCATACTTAGCCACTGGTCTTAAGTAAAGTACCAGTGGAATATAGGTGAAATAGAAGTGAAACAATAAAAGCCAGTATTAACCATGGGGCTTATATGAAATGCAAGTGAAATATCGATGGAATAAAGGTGGAATACCTTGAAGCATTATGTGCTACAAGTGGAATTTTTTGAAACATACTTGATTACTGGTCTTAAGTAAAGTACCAGTGGAATATAGGTGAAATAGAAGTGAAACAATAAAAGCCAGTATTAACCATAGGGCTCATATGAAGTGCAAGTGAAATATCGATGGAATATAAGTGGAATACTTTGAAGCATTATGTGCTACAAGTGGAATTTTTTGAAACATACTTGATTACTGGTCTTAAGTAAAGTACCAGTGGAATATAGGTGAAATAGAAGTGAAACAATAAAAGCCTGTATCAACCATAGGGCTCATATGAAATGCAAGTGAAATATCGATGGAATAAAGGTGGAATACCTTGAAGCATTATGTGCTACAAGTGGAATTTTTTGAAACATACTTGATTACTGGTCTTAAGTAAAGTACCAGTGGAATATAGGTGAAATAGAAGTGAAACAATAAAAGCCAGTATTAACCATAGGGCTCATATGAAGTGCAAGTGAAATATCGATGGAATATAAGTGAAATACTTTGAAACACAGATCTTAAGTAAAATACCAGAGGAATATAGGTCAAATTCTTTGGAAGGTGAAGAGCTACAGGGTATTCCGCAGTCTTGCCTACCCGTTTGCCGCTGTTTAACCCTGAACCAATGAAGGGAACGTAGTGTAAACTAATTTGAAGATAACAGCGCTTACCTCACAAGCACACAGTTATCACAACTGATAGTATTAGTTGACAATGCGCACTAAACTCAACTGTATATAGAAGCCAATTCTAATATATATATATGGTTTTTTTTGCACCTGGTACGCTCGAGTGCATATCAAACATGCTAGCTAATTGGCTGCAGGAGGCATTGCAGCTGAAAGCAGGCGCAACAAATCGATTTGTGACCAACTCATCAAATTCCATGTCACATATAAAAACTTTGCATGCCTCTGCACAGCTGTTTTGGACTGTGAAGGCAGCCTTATCAGCTTGAGCTAGAGCTCCTATCTCGTTGGCACTAAGCTTCGAATGGACATTCGTGTGTTTGTGTTTGATTTTGGCGTTAGGTTTTTTTTTATTCATGCCGCTCAGTTGGGTTATTCACGCTGTGCCTGGTCGAACACACGGCGAAAGGGAAAAGAAAACGCTTTAAATTTATTCACAAAATGAGCTGCGGTACGCAAACGCTGAAAATCTCCTCATTCGTTTTAGATTTTCTTTGCTGTGTAAGTGTTTTTTTTTTATTTATTTATTTTTTTATTGCTGAGTTATCGAAAACTGATTGCCGTGATTTTTTGATTTATAGGTTTTTGCCTCACTGTCCATAGCTGCGTGCTCATATGCATTGATAGTGTTCACCCACAGTCAGGCAATACGCATACCCTGCATATTGGGCATAGTGTTGGGTATATTGCTCTTCGGCAGCACCATCTTCGGCTGCGTTGCGGCGCTACGTGAGAGCATTCGGCTCAGCTGGATTGTGAGTACCCGAAGCAGATCGTTTATGTATACTTTTACAAATTTCATATTTTGCCCAAAAGTATGCTGCCATTTTGCTGGCCTTGATATGCGCCCAAATTACCGTTATATTCGCACAACCCATCAACTTTGAGCTGCTGGCCAACGAGACCATCTCCAATGCCTGGCAGAAGCAGCTGTATAACAATGGTAGCATCTCCTACTATGAGATCAAAGTAAGTTGGAATTTAATTAGTTAATTGATTTAAATTTAAATAGCTCTTTTAGTACCACTGCTGTGGCAAATCGGGACCCCTGGACTATGCTTCCAGCGGACTGCGAATACCCGCCAGCTGCTATTTGAACCAGAACTCGACCATAGCACCGGATTTATATACCGTGGGCTGTAACAAGCGTCTGGCCGCTGCCTATATCATGGGCACCAAATACGAGCGCATCAGTGATTGGACTGTTGTCGGTCTGGAGGTACATATATACATATATACTCTAAATAGATTAACTAATTCCCAAATATTTGTAGATATTGACTGTCATGGTTGCTGGACTGTTTGCAATCACATTACAAAATGCGGAGCGTAGACGTTTGTATCGTTAGATCAGAACTTTGGCTTTAATTTTAAACAGTATTTAAAGTTGTACAAATATTAAATGTTGGTTTTCTTCGATTTGAAATGTGCGCGTACTTTGCTAAAAGATGTTCAGTTAAAAACAGCGCCACCTGTTGTATATGAAAATAACTATTCATTTAAAATTAGCAGCTGAAACAATTTAAATGCAAGGCATGTTTGCTGTTGTAGGTGATGCTGTGATTAGCAATCTCATCTAATGCATAAATGAATCTAATTCTTACCTAATTATGAACACCTGGTTCAGTAAATTTGTTATGCATATTGCAAACTAATTAGGTTTTGGCGCGCCTTTTACGGTTTTGATTGAGTAATGCGACACAGTGCTGCCACCTGTGCGCCCGAGTTATCGAGCGACCGCCACAATATATCGCATTGCTTATCGATATGTTGTTTACAAACCTATAGCAGAATAGAAAAAACAAGAAATTAGCAGCGCGTTCAACTAGTTTTCCGCTTAAAGAGATGAGATTTCAGCAGACAGCATGTATTCATAACGCATTTAGTAGCGTTGGCCATTAGGAGACGCACTCGCGGCTATCGAAGTGCTTAAACGGGACTGTGCATTGGTCGTGGCCAAGTTCAACGCTGGCCACAACAAACAAGATATCAATTTTCTTAGCCAACGCTTAGTTTGGCGCAAAGAGAGTTGGGCTCGGAACTGTTGCCGGTCATTAGCACAGCGTAGCTGAAGGCAACAACAACGTGCGCGCAAACACGGGTGTCCCAAAAAAATTAAAAAAAAAGCAAACAACAATTCGTCAAAATGGGTCTGCGTTTCCAGCAGCTAAAGAAGCTCTGGCTTCTATACCTGTTTTTGTTGTTTTTTGCATTCTTCATGTTTGCAATTAGCATAAATTTATATGTGTCAAGTATACAAAACACTGGCGCAGAGCCGCGGTGAGTAATGGAAATATAATCAGTTCTATTGTTATCTATGAAAATGGAGTGTGTGCCCAAAGTCTTAGTGAAATTTGCCACGAAATTGCAACCAAGCCTGGCTTCAACCTCGCACCGCTGCATTCGTCCCATTGCATAATTTCCTTCAAGGCAGCAGCAGCAGCAGATGTTGTTGCAGTGTTGGCAACTTCAAAAAAGAAGCCAATGTAAAAAAGGCTAAAAGTAGCTGACTTAGCTGTTTGACTGGCTGCCCAAAAGTAGCTAAAGCGACTGAGGACCTCTGAAGCTAGCCAAATTGAGCTAGAAAACAGCCGAATTGTCAACACTGGCTGGTTGGTGTTGCAAGTGGCGCTGTCGCTGCCGGCGCTGTGGTTGTTTCCACTTGAGTGGGCCGCTGGCTGGACGGGTATCTCTCATCTCCAGCCTTGCTTTCGGTTTTGCTGGCTACTTTGCATTTTTTTACGGCATTTCTAGTTGTTTTGCTGCTGCTGCTGCTGCGTCTTATTGTTAAATGCCCAACATTATTGCCATTGTCATCTTTTGTTTGTTTGCTTTTTTTTTTTTTTGTCTTTTTTCTTCACTTTTGGATCACTCAACGTGCAAAGTCATCCAAAACCGCCGCCCAAACGTCGCTCGCTCTGGCCGTACAAAAACATTGTGGCCCACTATATTGGCAAGGGAGACATCTTCGGCAATATGACTGCAGGTTATTAAACCACAACAAAACAAAAAAAAAACCCAAAAAAAATTAAAATAAAATAAAAAACATTCAATGACCATACATTTGCAGATGATTACAACATCAACCAGTTCGAGCCTAAACAGGGCGAGGGCGCCGATGGGCGACCCGTGGTCATACCGCCGCGCGATCGTTTTCGTATGCAGCGCTTCTTCAAGCTAAACAGCTTCAATATCTTGGCCAGCGACCGCATTCCCCTCAATAGAACGCTCAAGGACTACAGAACGAATGAGTAAGTCGTGCGTTAAGCTCTATGAATATGCTCCGAATGTATATATGATCAACTTTTGCAGATGTCGCGATAAGCGCTATGCCCATGGCTTGCCCAGCACCTCGGTCATCATTGTCTTCCACAACGAGGCCTGGTCCGTGCTGCTGCGCACCATTACCAGCGTCATAAATCGCTCACCACGCCAACTGCTCAAGGAAATCATTCTGGTGGACGATGCCAGCGATCGCTGTAAGTTTCTATTGAAGCTTAATTAATCTTACATTCTTACATTCCCTGCCTGCATGCACAGCCTTTTTGAAACGCCAACTGGAGGCCTACATCAAGGTACTTAATGTACCCACGCGCTTGTATCGCATGAAGGAACGCAGCGGACTGGTGCCTGCCCGGCTCATGGGCGCACAGCATGCGCGCGGCGATGTGCTCACCTTTCTGGATGCGCACTGTGAGTGCTCCCGTGGCTGGCTGGAACCATTGTTGGCACGCATCAAGGAATCGCGGGAGGTGGTCATTTGCCCAGTGATAGACATCATATCGGACGACAATTTTAGCTACACGAAAACCTTTGAGAATCATTGGGGCGCCTTCAACTGGCAGCTAAGCTTCCGTTGGTTCTCTTCGGATCGCAAACGACAGACCAGCGTCAAGCCCAAGGACAGCACAGCGCCCATAGCCACGCCGGGCATGGCTGGCGGTCTGTTTGCCATCGATCGCAAGTACTTTTACGAGATGGGCGCCTACGATAGCGAAATGCGCATCTGGGGCGGTGAGAACGTGGAGATGTCCTTTCGGATTTGGCAGTGCGGCGGCCGCATCGAGATCAGTCCCTGCTCCCATGTGGGCCACATATTCCGCAGCAGCACGCCGTACACGTTCCCGGGCGGCATGAGCGAGGTACTCACCGCGAATCTGGCACGAGCTGCCACCGTCTGGATGGACGACTGGCAATATTTTGTGATGCTCTACACGGCAGGTCTATCGCTGAGCGCGCGGGACAAGGTGAATGTGACGGATCGTTTGGCATTGCGCGAGAAACTCAAGTGCAAGCCATTTTCATGGTATCTGGAGAACATTTGGCCGGAACATTTCTTTCCGGCACCGGATCGTTTCTTTGGCAAAATCATTTGGTTGGATGGCGAAACGGAATGCGCACAGGCGTACAGTAAGCACATGAAGAACCTGCCGGGACGTGCCCTGTCCCGGGAATGGAAGCGCGCCTTCGAGGAGATCGACAACAAAGCCGAGGAATTTATGTCGCTGATCGATTTGGAGCGCGACAAGTGCCTGCGTCCGCTGCATGACGATGTGCCGCGCTCAACGCTGCAGCCGGTGACAGTCGGCGATTGCACATCGCATGCACAAACGATGGACATGTTTGTCATTACACCCAAGGGTCAGATAATGACCAACGACAATGTCTGCCTCACATATCGCCCGCCCAAATCGGGCGCGCTCAAGCTGCTCAGAAATCGGAATGCAACAACATCGAATGTGATGCTGACGCAATGCGCCACCGAGGCAAGTCAACAGTGGACCTATGACATGGATGTGAGTAATCAGTGGGGCGTCAGGCCTGACTTTTCGATTAATTACAATGCTAATCTCCATTTAACAACAATTACAGACACAACAGATTTCGCATCGCGAGACAAAGCTCTGTCTGACGCTCAAAGCGGCCACGAATGCGCGCAGCCAGAAAGTCGAGAAAGTGGTGCTTACCATGGAGTGCAACTTCAAGGATATAACACAGAAATGGGGACTCATACCGCTGCCCTGGCGCATGTAAAAAATGATAACAAAAAAAACACGATAACGACAAAACGAGATAACGAAAAAAAAAACCCCTGCCAGCGATCTAATACAATGTGATATTTATTGAAATTGTTTAACGACCCGCCCCCTCACACAGACACACACACAGACACACCTACACACAGACGCACACATACACCGGGACATGCCCACAAGAATTGTTTTGAGTGTTTGCCTGGGAGCTTTTCTCCCCTGCACAAAAAAAAAACTTGAATGGTACTCTATGCAATTCTACGTCATATTTATTAAGTCAAATTTTTAGGCAATTTTTAAGTCGCAAAGTAACAAGTACTTTACTTAATACTTTTAACATTTTATAACACTTTAATTTTCTAACAAATTAAATAAACAAATATTAAAAATTGAGCTTTGCTGCGGAGACACATAAATTACTTAAAACGAATGAGAAATAATGTACAAAAGTGTCACTGTGCTATCTCCACCTTTAATACATGTTTATATATATTCAGTCTCAGTAGATTATCAGCTTTGCAGCTGCTTTAAAATTGCAGCATCTGCTGCAGATTGTCGCATTCGCGTTCGCAACATGATCTGCTGCTATAACACCATCAAATACACCGGACTCTTGTCCAATTTACTTTATATGGTAAGGTAACAAATTGTCATTTGCTTGGCTTACACGATTAATTCAATCTTATCTGTTGCAGCTACTGGCCATAGGCGTGCTGGTCGCAGCTGGCTTGGGCCTGCAAATGGCGCAGCCAAACACGCCGGAGCATACATACTTTGTGGAGAGTCTCGTGCTGGGCGCCACCATCTGCACGATAGTCATATTCGGCTGCTATGGCCTGGTCTGCGATCTGCTTAGCGTGAATTTAATTGTGAGTCTTATGCATTCATGAATTATTCATGCTAATCTGGCTCATATTTTGCAGTTCACCTGCTTTGTACTGATCGTGCTGGGCGCAGAGTATCTGCAGCTGCACAACTACCAGCCGCATAATCGCTATAGCGGCGCCTGGCAGCAGCTGGAGCTTACGCTGGCCTGGCATGGCCTGGACAAGCAGCCGGAGCTGATGCAACAGTATGAACAGCAGCAGCAATGCTGCGGTTACAACGGCGCCAACGACTACAAGTCTTTGCATTTGCCCATACCGAAAAGCTGTTATCAGCATGCTGCTGCCGACGACAAGCTCTTTACACGCGGCTGCCAGGCGACATTGAACCGCAACCAGAGCCACATACAGCAGCGCGATAAGCTATTCATGTGGTGCATCATTGGCCTTGAGGTAAGCTGCCAGTTCACTGATCTTTATAGTAACTAATAAGCGCTATATGCCCACAGATCTTTATACTCGTCCAGACCATCGCGCTGAGCGGTCTGCTCTACAAGCTGCGGCAACGCGAGCGACGGGCACGACAACAGGTGCCGCCCGGTGTTCGCCGTGAGCCGCGCGCCAATCATGTGGGCTCGCGTGCCCAGCTGCTGGACAATATTTAAGTAGCTTCTCTATGGATCATAGCAGTTAAGTCGTTTATTGTAGTTTAGCAAATGCAGCGTATAAATCTTAGTTCTAGTAGGCATAGCGGCGTGTTTTGGTGGTCAGCTGACAACACAGCGTTATGCCCAAAATAATGCCCACAATCTGCAAAAGATAAACATACATATATAAGGGGATACATAATCAAATCACGACTCACCTCATAGCCAATGAGTCCGCCGTGCGCCCATCTCTCGGAGCGATAGATATTCAAATGGGCGCGCTTAACGGCTGTCATGCAGCCCTCGGCATAGGGATAGAGCGCATGCACCCCATCCTTGGTATGGAAACAGCTCTGTGGCACACGCATGCTCAGGCTGGTGTAGTCCGAGAAGCCCTTGTCGCCGCAGCACTCGTACTGGACAACAGAAGTTACAAATATGTTTAGCTTTTGTGTGAACATATGCTTACTCTGCGCTCCAGCTGATGCATAGCGCCCGGATGCACCAGCTCCCTCATCCACACGCCCATGACAAACTCCTCCGTGGTATCCACATGCTTGGACTCATTGTAGTGCGCCAGGCGATAGACGTGTGCACCAATCAGCAAGACCAACATAACCAAGTGCTAGGAGTTACAATCATTTAGCTAAAGCTCATTTCAAATCGGGAGTTCCATATTTACCACGGCCAGCACCTTGATGGAGCCCAGAAAGGCGCCCGAGCAGCCGATGACAGCGGCCAGTATAAGGCTGCCGGCCATGGCCAACTGCATGATCTTCTCCGCATCAATGTGATCGGAGGAGCCCTCGTCCAGCTTATAGAGCAGCTCATAGACGCCAGCCAGGGCGGCCATGCTGCCAATTAGCTGTTGAAACATAAAAGGGAAATTAATTAGGAAAATAGAAAAAATCATGTGAATTAACAACGCGTCACACAAAAACAAATTAAAAACAAAAAACCTGGCCAAAAATATATAAAAAACAAAATCAAATCAAAAAAATGTTGCCCGCCTTTGTCAGGCGGCAGAAACCAAAATAAAAACAAATACAGACGCATGAAATTACTTTGGGCTTTATTTTTAAATGCCCCGCCGGACACACACACACACACGCGCACACACGGACACACACTCAAATTGTTGTGCGAAAAATGTAGCAATAATTAAAAATAAGTAAAATGACATCTTGTCTGGGGCGCATCGGAGGCAGGAGATTTGTTTGCTGCCAAATTGGCCACAAGGAATATGTAAATAAATAGCAACAATTAAAACGTGAAGCTTGCAAAGTGATTGAGAATTTAATGAGATTTAGCAACATATATATGCTATATATCTGTGTGTGTGTGTGCAGCACTAAATCGACTGCTTAATGGGCAAATTACTCATACGCACCGTGAGTCAAGCCGCAAGCTGTTTGTTAATGGAAGAACTCGAGTTAAATCGTATAAAAGCTAATGAGCGTACATATGTCAGCATAGCCCTAATTCATATGCACATAGATATACGCCTTTTTTTCGAAATATGTTTACTGAAAATTTATTCCATTTATGAAAACTCACCAAAGTAAATGTATTGAAGACGACCGCGGTCCATTGCAGACACACCTGCAGTGTGGGCATTTCGTGTCGCAGCAACTAAATCAATTTTAAATTATGCTAATATATATGTTTTTCTTGTCTTTTTTTAATGTTTTTTATATGGCATTTGCTCTGTGGTGCGATCTCCAATCCGCATGAAGACGCGCGCGTTAATGCTTTTCGGCTGCCAAGAGAACTCAACTCGTTCAGTTTGAAGAAAAACTGCGAAATGTTTACAAAAGCGTCGAGTGCTTTTTTTTATATATTTTTTTCGTTTTTTTGTGTGGTCGTTACTCAAGAGACACAATCCCCAGCGGCTGTCGCCCCGCCCCCCGCCCGCCCGCCGCATCGTCCCGCGACTGCGAATTGTTTCACATGTATTTTTATATATTCATCTTTATAGGCAGCCCATATATCTATCCACTTAGCCGCTTATACTAGATATGCCATGGCTATAAGTAGTTTGGAAAATGTACAACAACAACAACAAGAACTATTCGAATAGGAAAATACACTTAAGAGATTTATACGCATTTAATCGCAGCGTATTAACTGAGTTGGTTTTTGTTTGCAAACGTTTTGCGCGATATTTATTTATTTATCTTGTGTAAAATGCCAACACTTATAGATGCTACGTTTAAGTTTGAATTGCATTACGAGCTATTGATTAAATGAGGGGGGGAAAGCCTCTTTCAGAAACGCTCGCGCCGCAGCTTATTGCGCACCGTGATGCCCAGGTGGGAGGCTGTGCCCAGAGCGCCAAGCTGTGCAGATGAAAGACAGAAGGTGAAATTGTTTAAATAAATAAAAAACCACACACAAGATCGAATAGTCTACTTCGGTGCGCCGAAGATCAAATACCCTAATGGAAGAGCAGAAAGTGTGCAGCTTTTTGCAGCTGCTTTATAGACTTATGCGATTCCGGTAAGAGATTGTTCTTAAGAACTTGGCAAAGCTAGAAAATCCTTTGGCAGAGGATTCTAATTACAAAACGTAAGTTCTAATTCAAAATCTTTGTTTTCGGCCGATAGTTCCTATGTAATCTGTATATACTACTACTACTACTACTACTATATACTTTCTGGTATAGGTAATCTATAACCGTATACAAACAAACAGACAGGAAGATGACTAAATCGTCTACACTCATATATATTAAATTTATTACCTCGCGACAAAATTATTCTGCTCTTCGCAAGGGTAGAAAATATTATTTTCTTTTCTTTTGCCCGCCTAAGCCAGCCATAAATTATTGTCTGAAATGATGTTAAGGTCGGCGTTGAAAACTTGCCTCGAGCAGAAAAAGCAGCCACTTGATGATCAGCCCGTTGACGACATTGTCTGTGGCATGCGCCTGCACAGCCTCCAAGCAGCCGCCGCTGAAGAGTTGACTCTGCACCCGTTCCTTATTCCCATAGCAGCTGAGCGGAAAGGCGCTGCCCTGGAGTATATAGTCATGTGGCCCGCTTTGGCCACAGCATGTGTACTGTATCGAAAAGGGAATAAATGAATCAATTACCTATGGAACTACTTCGCCAGCTCACCCTTTGCTCCAGATAGCTAATGCGATCCACGTTGCGTCGCGGATCTGACCAGAGAGATAGGAAATCCGCACGTGACCGCTCCACATAGTCCGTGACATGGGCAGCCACAATTATATAGATTTGCAAGCCGATCAATATCAGCATGCAGCTGACAAACTACAGGGTATAGAGAGAATGTTAGGTAATATTTATGTATATAAAGTTTTATGGAGTGTTGGAAAAGTCGAGCTCCAAGTAGGAAACACGGAGGTTTGGACTAACAAGCGAAAGGTCGCTGGTTCAAGTTTCATATTTAATGAAAATAAAATAAGCAAAACCAACAAATTTAAAAATATATTCGAGTTCCAAGACGGTAAAAACTGTGCTGATGGAAAACAGAGCGTCGGACTAACAATGAAAAGTCGCTGGTTCAAATTTCACATTTTATGTGTTATTATTCCAAATGAAATAAGTAAAACCAACAAATTTAAAAAAAAAGCACATAAATTCGAGTTCCAAGACGGTAAAAACTGTGCTGATGGAAAACAGAGCGTCGGACTAACAAGCGAAAGGTCGCTGGTTCAAATTTCATATTTTATTGTTTTTTATTCCAAATGAAATAAGTAAAACCAACAAATTTAAAAAAAAAGCACAAAAATTCAAGTTCCAAGACGGTAAAAACTATGCTTAGGGAAAACAGAGCGTCGGACTAATAAGCGAAAGGTCGCTGGTTCAAATTTCATAATTTTTTGATATTATTCCAAATGAAATAAACAATAATAACAAATTTAAAAAGAAACACTTAAATGGCATGGAAATATAACTTTCGTTTCAATTTGATCGAATTTGTATCTATCAGAAGTTGGCGCGAATTACATAAAAAAGTTCGGTAACACTTGAAACGTTTCAACATTATTACGTCGAACCGTGCGACGCCGGTTATTTTTGTTATCAAACTTACGCTCCAAATGAGTCCCAGCGATACGCGCGCGCCCGCAAAGCAGCCGAGAAAGGAGCTGAGCACCACAAATGAGCCCACAAATATCTGCACCACGATGGCGATGTGCTGAAAGCTGCCCGGGGTGACGTTGTCCAGCTCGTAAAGAGACAGTGCAATCAATGTGACGCCAACCAGCTGGAAATCAATCGGGAACCGTGAACGTCTTGTGCAATGCGCACAGGAAATAACTTATACGAATATTACGCATACGCACCGATAGCAGCACATTCAGTGCGATAAGTATGGCTTTCAGGCAGGATACACGGCTGGCCATGTTCGCAACGCAAACCAATCGATAGTGCGTCCAATTGCGTTTCGGGAAGCTTCTTTCGTATGATAACAAAAAAGCAAGGTAGTATATGTATGTGGTGTAAATAATCAACACGCTCCAGCTCCAGCCCTTTTGCCAGACACGTTCAACTACGACTAAACGACGCGCATTTATTTTGAAATAATGGCGCCCCCAAAAAGGCAACGCAGCACCCACCAGACAGCACGGCAATCCGACTGTCTGACATTCGGCTCGCTGTTTGTTATTGGTGGCTTCTTCTAAGAAATCAACGTTCGAGTGCTTGTTGCTATACCCTGTAAATGTTAAAAGCAGTTAGATACATTGATAGATTGAAATCAAGATTCGATTGTTGACTCTTGTTGTTGCTATACCCTGTAAATGTTAGAGATAGTTAGACTGAGATTTGCTGAAAGATACAGTTTATTGGCATGCTAAGCTGAGGCAGGTCCTGAAATAGTCGCTACTTTAATCAGGTTTTTGTCATGCTTACGCTTAGAATTGGGAAAGAAAAGAACTCCAAACAGAAACATATTAAAATACCTGTAAAAATGTATCTCAGAATTTTCTATAAAATTAACCGAAAAACTTAAAAACTTCAATTACTGAAGGTAAATTTTCTAAATAATAAATTTTAATGCAATTTTTCTAAATTTATATACAACTTTTTCTGAATGTTTAGAAATATTTTTCTAAAAACAGTTTAACAGATAATTTAAAAAAAAACCTGTATTTTGAAAAATAATTTTCTCAGTGTATTTAGTAAAAGGATTGTGTACAGGATATTTGGGAATAAATTATGCAAATTGTTAGCCAACCTGCTGTACATACAAGACCCAAGTCCAGGGTATCTATGAGTTCAGCAGCTTCACCTTTGGCCATAATACTTGTTGTGCTATTAATGTTCAGTCTCTTGGCGGTCATAGAATTTGTGGGTGGTATGATGTCACTAGCATGTCGACAAAGCTTTTGCCCCCCCTTAACCTTTAAAGGAGCTTTTGTCCTAGATAAAATACGTATGTAAGCGTTCATTGATAAAGTGCGCCGCAAAATGCCATTTGTAAATGATACTATGATAAGGATATGATAAGAACAACAATGGCAATAAGCGAAACCTAGCAGCCTTTTCTTGAGGAAAAACTTAGCTAGTTGAAATCAAGTAGTTGGCGAGAAACTTTTCTCTATAAGGCTCTATAATAAGCTACGGAAATATTCGAACTATTGAAAATGTTGTCAATTTTCACAACCTTTGCGCTATTTATTGCTGTTGTACGTGGCATCGGGGAGTTGAGCGTGCTGCAATGTCCCAAGTCAATGGAATTCACTGGCAACGATTCACTGGATAGTTTTTACGTGGGCGACGTTCTCCTGGCTACATTGGGCAATAGCGTCACCGGCAACTCCAAGTGGTCCGGCCTGACGATCAAGGATCCCTTTGAACTCAGCCAGACAACGGTGATTCTTGTGCACGTGAAGGGTGTTTATCGTGTGGAAACGTCCGGCAATTACAGGGTTTACGAACTAATCGATTCGGACACCGCAAATTCGATTGATAATTTCGTAGCACAGCTCGAGCCCGGAACAGTTAACGATTTCAACTTTATTAATCATAATCTGGGTGTCTTAACGTACAAGTCCTATTTCGGTAGTCAGGAGGTGCCCATGGCCGAGCCTATACGTTTCTTGAGGCCCATCGATTATCTGAGCCATCAGAATTTTCTCGAGGAGATCGGCTATATGAATGCCATCACCAGGAACTTGAGCGGCCTGCTGAACTCCTCGCAGGTGATCGTCTTTCGCCTGTCGCTGGATCGCATTTCCAAGGTGACCAAATACACCATACTCTTTGAGGCCAAGCAGCTGGTCGCCGCCGCGATTGCAGATCTCCTGGCCGCTGCGAGAAATATCAGCAATACGTTGCTTTTCGTGCAGACCACGGACAAGCAGATGTCCGCAAGCAGCTTGAGTCGAGGCCATAAGTCGCCAAACGCGACAAATCCCTTCCCCAAATTCCGTGCCTACGATTATCCGATTATATTCCATATTGTGTTATGGTTAGGTATTGCATATGTCCTCTCGCTGGCTGTCATTTGCTGTTCAATTGTCAATATCGATCCAGGCAGAGATTCGATCATCTATCGCATGAGCTCCACCCACCACTATCGCTCAGGTCTACACAAGAAGAAGCACTAAAAATTGATAGATGTGCTGTTAAATGTATTCCTATGCACTAATTAAATAGCAAATATATGCTCACAAGCAATTAAAGCAATTTTCATTTGTAATTCTCAAACAGTTTAAGCGCTGACTAAGATAAGTATCAGGCGTCGCTTGAGTGCTCACTAAATATTGTGACTTGACATTATACTTAGTAGTATGCAAAACTAAAAATTCCAATATCCATTTCCATTTATATAAACATTTCAATTTGTTAAAGATATCACATAAAGCGGCAACAGTCAGTAGTTCGCTTTGGCTCATCAGTTTTGGCATTCCCTAAACTATGTGCCTTGTTTACCAATTAGCCAGCCCTCGTTTTGGCCAAAACGCATGCCAAAAAAGCAAAACAAAATTTGACAAATCGACGCAAATACATATTTACATGTGTCTGTAGCTAAGGTATGAGGCTGGCAGATGATCAACAAGTTGTCTGCCTTAGCCAGCGCATATTTTCATTTTGGCCTGGCCCGTACGCATTTTCTTCTTTTTGGCCCTGAATATGTGACGTCGGCCTATTTATAAACAAGCAAATTTTGTTGTACCTCAGAAAACGGGAACCGTTCTTGAGAGTGCGCTCGCACCACGTGTTGTATACGCAATTTTTTGAGATAAATAATAAAAAGGGGCATAAAAATTCGCTATAAATTCCGACGGCAATAGGATTGTATGTTGTATGCGGCCAGATCGAATTACTATATCATATAGCTAGCATATAAAACTGTCAAATTCTTAAATGGCGAGCTTTGCTGTGTTCCTCCCGTGAAAAAAAAATATTATCAGCATCGGACTGCTATATCATAAAGTTCGTAAAATCGTTTCGAAATAATTTGCCGAAAATATAAGTTCTTTTTTGCTCCACAGAACCAGTTACTGTATTATTATTCTTTATAATTCTCAACAAGTTTTTCAAAAGGAATTTTTGTTACATTTCGCCTGACTTAATCCCAAAAGCCCAAAACAAACGCTTTCATTTATTAGAATACACGCACAAACACATATATATTTAGTTTTATTTGCTTTATAGATAGTTAAAATAAATTACAAATTATAAATTAACTAAGTACTTAGCTTATGTTTGTAGCATTTGTAGTAGAATTTGCAGCTTATGAATTGTATGCATATAATTTTTGTTTGGTTTTTTTTTTGATTAGAAATAAAGAGTTGTGCTCGAATAGGCGGAGCACAAATCAAATACTTAATATCCTTCAGCTCAGCGAGGGGCGGGCCTCGTTCCCCGTTCCCCGTTCCCCGTTTTGTACTTGTCACCTGCCGCAACAGTTGGCCATTAAAATTGCATGCGCCGCTGCTTGTTGCGGAAACTGATGGCCAGAAAGACGGCCAGCGCAAAGCACAACAGCTGCAATTGGTAACACGATTATTAAGGTATTCAACAAAAATTAATTGTATATGTTTAGTTTAGTGCACACCCACCTCGAAGGCCACCAGGACCCAGGAGACAATGATGAAGCGCCGCTTGTCGCTCTCGTAATGGCTCTGCAGCTTCTCGATGCAGCCCTCGACAAACAGATGCTCCGGCTTCTGCTGCAGATCCACATAGCAGCTGGGCGGTATCGATTGCCGTAGATGCACATAGTCCTGGGCGCTGGTCTTGCCGCAGCACTCGTACTTCTGCTGCAGTCCGTCCATGTTGTTCGCCTGCCAGGCCAGCTCCACGGTCTGCTGGGCGCTCTGCACCTCGGACTGATGCAAGAACATGCAGGTGCTCACAATTTGCGGTATGGCCAGCACCAACAGGAACACAGCACTCTACATGGAAAGTATTGCACAGTAGTTATTCGCCATAAATGCAACAATTGAACAGTTGAACCCTACCGTTGCGGTCAGACAGACCGATTCGCGTATGGCCGCAAATATGCCCAGAAAGGCGAACAGCACAATTATCGCGCAGGCCACGTAGGCGGCGATAACAAACTCCTCGCTCTCCGTATCCGCATTGAAGGCTATCCAACCGATGGCACCCACTGCGAGGAGCTGTAAGATTAACGCAACATATTTAACTGGAAATTCTTCGAGTGAGTCATCGGACAATATATGCAATGGGATGCGAGAACAAGGTCCAAGTGCAATAATTTGAGTTTGAGTCGAAATCGAAACGCTTTTTGCAATTTGCGGCACATTAATTGAGGTTTGTCAAATGATATATATTATATATACTATATAGAGAGATACCATATAAGTGGCACAGAACCGCAGAGCGCGTCACTTGAATGACTTTTACTCTCGTTTACAAAGTAAGAAGAGTATATAGGTTTTGTACAGAGTATATTTGATTTGATCGTCCTTGCTTTGAATTGTGTGTTATATACTCAAGTTTTTAAGCCACGCCCACTAGAAGGCAGCCAAAATATTTTTGATTATGTTTAGCTATAAACTCCTCTGTATATGAAACCGAAAATCTATATCTGCCAGAGTTCTTGACCAAGTTTAGAATAAAGTCTACCGATGAGCTCTAAAGATCGATAAAATCAATCGTTAAAATCGATCAATTTGACGTATATTTTAGCTGCTATTGGACTGTGAAAGAGCATAGCCTAGTCTGTTATACCCCACGGCATTAATTTTACATTTTACCTTTTTTACTAGCAGCAGGATATTAAATTTTGTTACGACTTACATCAAAGCAGACACCTACAACCACATTAAGTCTATATATATGTTGTAAATGTTCTTCTGATCAGTAAAAACAGGCTGAGTCATGGCTAGATTGGTTAATGCGTGCTAGGGTATTTAATCTTCGAGAGCTTCTCTTTTGTTCTTTGTCTGAAGACAGTCAATTGGTTGATTACAATCGGGCGGGGGTGTTGTTTGCGCCAAACACACCCCGTTTGGCTTTTGGGGGTTGAGGCCTATGCCTGGATTCGGATAACGCGCTATATAGGTCAAACTACAAATAAGTGTAGTGTGCCGTGATGACATCATTCGACAGCCAGAAACTGGCTGCAATTGTGGGCACAGGGCGTCCGTTTCCTGCGAGCACAATACTACTTGACTCTCCGGGCCCAGTCAAAACAAACCAAAACTTGCAAGCGTAAACATGCTAGCTATGGTAACAGGGAAGGGGAGAGGAGAGGGAGAGGGGTGCCAGCAGCGTAGTCAAGGGGGTGTATGTATTGGCCAAAGACCTGTCGTCGACGTGGCTAAAGTGTGTGAAACTGACAAATGACAAAATATTAAAAATACAACATGGCCAAATATAAGTGGCCATACGTGGGTTTCGCCTACTGAAGAGGTGGAGGGTGGAGGAGGGGTGGGGGAGGGGGGGTGCAAATAACATTGGGGGCCATGTGCATGTGAGAATTTTTGAATATTCTAGCATCTTGCAGAGCTGCTTTCTAGCCTTATTATATATACGGTTAAATCCGATAGATTGCCCAAAACTTGATTTCTTTTCGCTTTCATTCTCGGGGCATATGACATCATGCTTGCAAGTGGTTTATTTCCTTTCTTTTTTTTTTGTTTTTTTGAATTGAATGCATCAGTGAAATAATAAATGTCATTGAAATATTTAAATAACAAGCTGTGTGCGTCTGTGTGTGTGTGTGTGTGTGTGTGTGCATTTGCATTATTCGCTCTCTTTTTGTTATATATATTTATTTTTTTGTTTTTCTAAAACTTACCGCCAAAATGGCATTCAGCACAATGGAGCTAATCTTGATGGTTTTTATGGCGCAGCCCATTTTTCAAAATTGACTTTGGCAAGCTGAAAATTAAAAACAAACATTTAATATATACAAATCCTAATTCAATCACTTTTAACTGCTAAACTAAATATTCTTAATCAAATTTAAATGCACAATAAAATCGCTTTTAATTGGACTGAATTCAAATTTTCAATTTATGTTTATTTGTATTTTTACTAATTGTACATAATTAGCTGGCAGCGCATAAGCATATGAAATTGTACTCAATTTACACACAAATATCACAGCACGAAGTTTCTTAACCTTTTGACTTCCAAAACAACAAAGCGCAGTTGTTTGTTTTCGAAATAACAAAATAAATGCCTCTTTTTAAATGTGCTCGAATCCGTTTCAGAGACTGGCGCGTTCCACGTTTGCTTGCAAACTGAATCCAAATAAAAAAGTTCGTTATTTTCAACATTCAAAACGACTCACACACACACACACACACTCGCACGCGCCCGCTCACCCACAACCACTCTCTCACACACACACACACACACATGCGCAGCAGTAGCCATTGCTCGCACAAATACAGTCTCATATTAAGAGAGAGCGTCAATGCGCTCGCGCAGATGAGCGCTGCTTTCAGTGACGTCACTGTCAATCGTTCAATACGTCATATTGTGAAGCGGTACAAGTGCTTCTTCTTCTTCTTCGTGCTGCAGACTTTTGGGGATGTGAATTGAGTGGGGCCAGCGAAATAAAGCTAACTCGGCCATATCCTTGCAGGTTTTCAAAGAAAAAAAGTGGTCATTAACGTATGCGAGGCTCATTTGAGGATCAGGCACTTTCAGTCTTTGAGCGAATATGAATAGCTCCTTATTATCGCAGAGCTCTGAAGGATGATTTGAATGGCCTCTGACCAGCCGAAAGCACTTGCCGTTTCGAATTGTTGGACACTTAACTAGCCAGAATCTATAAGGATTTTCCCCAATTACGGATGTAAGAGAAATGTCCTTTTCGAAGGACATCTTTCGTTAGGATCGCGAGAACAAACTTTATCGATCGGCATTCAAGGATTTTGGGATCATCTACGCAGGTTTCAGGCTGTGAACACAAGTGTTTTTTTGTCGTGTTTTTGTCGTAAGTATGTATGTATGTATGTATGTATGTATGTATGTATGTATGTATGTATGTATGTATGTATGTATGTATGTATGTATGTATGTATGTATGTATGTATGTATGTATGTTTGTATGTATGTATGTATGTATGTATGTATGTATGTATGTATGTATGTATGTATGTATGTATGTATGTATGTATGTATGTATGTATGTATGTATGTATGTATGTATGTATGTATGTATGCATGTATGCATGTATGCATGTATGCATGTATGCATGTATGTATGTATGTATGTATGCATGTAAGCATGTACGTATGTATGTATGTATGTATGTATGTATGCATGCATGTATGCATGCAAGCATGTTAGCATGCAAGCATGTTAGCATGCAAGCATGTTAGCATGCAAGCATGTTAGCATGTATGCATGTAAGCATGTATTCATACATGTATGCATGTAAGCATGTATTCATACATGTATGCAAGTTTGCATGTATGTGTGTATGCATGCATGTATGCATGTATTCATATATGCATGAGAGCATGTATATAAATATGTGCACGTGTGTGTGCGTGCATCATATGCCAAACGAAGACCGACGTACTTTTCTCTGTGCTGCAAACTATATGGACCCTCCTACTAATAGATGGCAAATATTTGGGCGTGTATATATGGAGTTTTGGGTAAGTACAATTTTAACATATATATTTTTATATCTAAATATGCATATATTTGTGCAAATCAGTCGATAATTTTGACTTTTTAAGCTTGTTGCATCTGCGGTCCCTACTATAAGTCGTACAGATAAAGCTGCAGCTCGTTCTCTCCCTCTCTTTCTCCCTTCATCTCTTTCTTTATCTCTGACCGTGGCCATGGGTGTATTGTTGATTTAATTTTGGGGGACTAAGCTATGCCAGCTGCTTTCCCGCAGATGGGCAAGAAAGCTTCATGAAGCGTGTCGTCATTGGGAGCTTGATAATTTTTGGGTTTTTTTTTTACCCCCACGTTTCGATTGCCTAATTGGTTGAAGAGCTTGCACTGTGGAACCAAATGCGATGGCAAGCTGTCGAAAAATGAAAGCAATTGCAATTGTTTATTCGAGTTAAGTATATATTTAATTCATTGGATTGCTTGGCAAGTGAACACATGGCGCTCTGTGCGGTTCAAAGTTTGCATAAGTAGGTACATTGGTGACACTTATAGATGAGGTACTACGAGTACAATTCGACTGACTTAGTTCTTGCTAAATATAAAATTAATAATTATAGCGGCGTCTCTGATTCGAATAGTGTAAGGCAAGTATGATCGCCAGACCGAGTATTATCAACTGAAAGCAGACAAATCGCAAATATTAGAGCGCGGGGCAGTTGGGCAGCTGACGGAGGCACTTACATCGAAACCCAGCAGGCCCCATTCAAAGTATCGCGATGTGCTGGCCTCATCGGCAAAGGCCGCCTCCACTTTGCCCAGACAACCATCTGTGTAGACATTCAATGGATTCAGGCAGTTGTTGCCCTTGCAACAGCTCGAGGGCACCGTATTATTTCTATGCCCAATGGCAATATAGTCGCCAGCTCCGTAGCGTCCGCAGCAGGAGTACTATGCAAACGAGTTAAATTTAAATTGGAAACACTTTTAGTCAGAGCCAGCACTTACCGTCTTCTGTATCAGATCCATGCTGCCCGGCTTGGTCAGTTCCAGTTGCCAATGATCCTCAACCGTTTGCATTGCATACTTCTTAAACACGTCGCGGGTATTGAAGAAGATGAAGACGGCTATCAGCACCAGCAGCACCAACAGCAGCGACACATACTACAAAAACAATGAAGAGAAGTGTTAGGCCAACTCTGCAAACTCGTATCTATGGAATACTCACCGTCCAGAGCATGCGCGACGATTCGCGTATGGCCCCAAAGCAGCCGAACATCGATATCAACAGTATAATGCCGCCTAGGACCATGATGCCGATGGCATATTGCTGCGGCATGGCGCCCCAGCCAAGTCCGCCAAACACGATGACCAATATGCCAAGTATCTGAAATGTTCAATATGGCACATAGAGAATGTAAATTATAGAATGGCAGATTTCAGTTTTGTGAATCATCATTCAAAAGTGGGCGTTCGGTTACACGCCCTCCAATTTCAGCGAAGTGGGAAACGAATTAACGTTTCTATTATACTTCGTATTGCCTGAGATTCGAATCTGGATTCTCATTGTTCTATTGCCTAAATGACTGGCTAACTTATCTATTAAGGACCAAGGATTTTGATTCCTATAACTTTTCAGGGTGTTCTTTTCACACATATTTCATAAATACTTTCATTTATTGCAAATGCCTGATTTAATTGGAAATATTAGAGCTGATGTCATGATAAATGAGAGCATATCGTCATTGTATACAACATTTTAGCAGCAAATGACTAACTAACTTATATACTAAGGACCTCAAAGATTTTTTTTTTAAGCTTTTAGAGGGATCTTTTCACAAATGTTCCATTAATGCCTCAGTCATTGCCAATTTCCGCAGCTTCTCTTCAACGGCTCAAATTCATTAGTTCTAATGCATGATTTAATTGGAATTATCAGAGCTGATGTCATGATATATGAGAGCATATCATCAGCACCAAAAAGAAGCAAATGTAGCTGCTTTCATCGCCAGGTGTTGACATTGGTGTCTTGTGTGTTTTCTAATCCGGTTTCTATTACGATTTTTTTTTCTTTGGTTTTTAATTATTATACTAAATCTGAAGGCATGACGTCGTTGTCGCTGTTTGCTGGTCGCTTGTTAACAAAGAAGCTTTCCAAGCGGCTCAAGGAATGCAAAAAGCCACAGACAATAGACACAGATACTCACACACACACGCACACACACACACACTCGCCCGCTCGCTGAGCGCTAGAAAACGCGCATGTATGTGTTTTTTTAGACTAACAATAATAGTCGTGAACTAAGCACGCATATACAAGATGATATCATCTGGTCTTAGGTAGAGCTACAAAAAGGTTTGCTATTTTTTTTTCAATGCTTCCATTTGCCATTGCCAGATGTTTCGTTTGAAAAACATTTGAAAACTTTTACAACTTACCGCCCATAATGCATTGAAGAGGAATAATGAGTATTTAATGGAGCCCGTGGCGCAGCCCATGATTGCAACTAATCAAATTTGTTACAAAAACTGATTGTAAATAAATAAATGCGGACACGTGCAACAGTTTGTCAAAACAAAACAGCAGAAAATAACAACTGGACAATGTACTTGTTTTTTAGCTATTTTTGATTTTAGTATTTAAGTTACAACCGAGAACTGTGAGCGCAGACGGCCGCGTACGAACTACAACTGAAACTGAAACTGAAACCGAGGCCCGAAGCTGGCGAGCAAAGAGCACAAAACGGCACAGTGGCACACAGAGCACCACCACGGAGCACCACTGAACACCACAGTGCAAACAAAAAGACGGTAAACAAACATGAAAAGCAAAAAAAAAAACGAGAAAGAAGTGCTATCTTCGGCACGCCGAAGATTTAATACCCTTGCAGACCAAACCTTTTCATAATGATCATGGTGATTTGCCTGTATCTAAGAAGCACAGCGAAAATTGTTAATGCCGAGTATGGTTAAGATATATTGAAAAACAAAAAAGTTTTCCATACAAAAACTTAATTTTCGACCGATCGTTCCTATGGAAGCTATATGATATAGTGGTCCGATCTTAATAGGTTTTTGCATATATATGAGGAGCATAGTAACACTAATAAATGCCGAGCTTAATCAAGATATCTTAATAAACAAAAAAGTTTTCCGTACCACAACTTGATTTTCGACCGATCGTTCCTATGGCAGCTATATGATTTAGTAGTCCGATCGAGCCGGTTTTGACATATGTACTGCGTGCAACAGAGAGAGGCACTTCTGCAAAGTTCCATAAAGATAGCTTTAAAACTGAGAGGCTAGTTCGCATAGAAAGAGACAGACGGACATGGTTATATCGACTCGGCTGTTGATACTAATCATGGATATATATACTTTATGGGATCGTAAAAGCATCCTTCCATGCGTTACATATTTCACGACAAAATTATAATACCCTCTGCAAGGGTATAAAAAAAGCCAAAATCAAAAGTCAACGTGTGTACGTGTCTGTGTGTGTATGTTTGTATACCAAAGCCCAAGCGATGTCGGAAGCCAAACAAACAAACAAACAGCCGGGCGGTCTGACCCAGCCGGAGAGCTAAATGATTGAGCGGCCGAACGAGCTACAAAGTGGTGCACTCTGGAACTGGGTCTATGGTAAATAGCTGCGACGCCAGCTCTCCAATGTGCCAGATGTTACAGCCGAGCAATAGAGACAGCAACAGAGAAACAGTGAGAGAGAGAGAGAGAGAGAGGGAGGGAGGGCGAGAGATTCGCTGTGGCGATCAGACGACTCTTAGAAACTAATGCGCTGTGATTATCGAACACATTGCGTCATGAATGGAGCATGAGTCGAGTCGATTGGGAATGTTAAGATGAATGAGCCGAATGACGCCAGCCCAGGCCGAGGCCGGGTTATGTATCAGTAATAGATAATTAATAATAATTATACAAATACCCTGTGCATTTACTACCATCAGCAGTTTATTTGTAAGTGTCTAAAAATAATGTTGACAAATTTTCAAAACAAATTAGATTCCAGTTCGAAAAGTTGTAAATATTTGAGATAATTAAACACAATAAGCAAATAAGAATGCGGCAGTCGGCTGTAACCGACTGCTTAATGCTCGTTCACACTTTTCAATTGTTATCGATTTTGTTAATTTTCCTATCGATCTTCTGCACTCGTCGATAGTTATTATATCAAATTTTGTGAATCCATGGAAGATATAGATATTTGTTTAGATCTTTAGAGGAGGTAAGAAGGAGAATGCGGCAGTCGGCTGTAACCGACTGCTTAATGCTCGCTCCCACTCAAAAAATGAGAAATTTTCAAATGTTATCGATTTTGCCCATTTTCTTATCGATCTTCAGCGCTCGTCGATAGTTATTATATCAAATTTTGTCATTCCATGGAAGATACAGATTTTTGGTTAGATCTTTGTTTAAAAAGTTGGGATATATAGAATCTATATTATCACCAGCCCCTAGTGAGACCTGGCTATACAATGTTAACACTGTGACTAAAATATATTTCAATTTTAAGTCTTTAGTTTCCGGTGAAAATTTGCATTCATATTGGCGGACAGACAGACATACGACAAACCGAATATACTCTTTTCGCGTTTGTGAACGAGCATAAAAATCAGTTCGTCTTAATAATGATACGTGTATCTTTGGCGTTCCTTGCGAAAACGTTGCACCAAATAGAAAGTGCAGAAGCACAAGAGAGCCTGAAATGGAAGAGTATAATCAAATTTAATAAAGGTATCTAAATGTATTTATAAAAAGAACGCACCGTGACTGCAAATGAGCCCCATTTACTATTATCAGCATAATTAAAGAATCTCAAGAACTCGTCGGCAGCGGCATTTACGCAGCCCGTGGTAAAGTAGGGTATATTGGTTTTTCCATCGGGATAGCAACTGTCCGACAATGTAGCACGATCTATGCTCACATAGTCATCGGGTCCATTGCGTCCGCAGCACTCGTACTGTGTGGCAACATTATGAAGAACTCGATTAATGCAATGTGAGAATTTCGAAGAGAATTTCACCTACGGTACGCTGTATTTTATCCATGGCACCGGGCTCGATCATCTCCAGTTTCCATTTGACATCGACATCTTCGACCGCATAGCGTTTAATGTAATCCTCATCGAAGCTGTTCCCAAACAAGCCAAACAATTGCACAATCAGCAATGCCAACAAGATGAATCCATACTTTGGTATTGGATGTGTTCGGGATTGGGATTTTACATAGAATATCGAGTCAGGCATCTTCGTCTGGCAGTTTGTTTATCAAGTTCACTCACCGTTGTGGTCAGGCAAACACTCTCCTGGCAGATGCCGCAGCAGCCGATAATAGACGATGCAAACAGAACCCCGCCAACGACATACAGATAGATAATATATGCAGTCGGCGCCTGGCTCAGACTCAGCGTGGCAATACCTATTATCAACAGGCCAAAGAGCTGTGCATTTATATAAAAGAGATAATCGAAATAATTACATTTATGCCTGGCAGATTAAAGAGGTTCAGATTAATTGGTATTTTTTGCGGGTTATCTTAACTTAAAATAAACTGGAATGTTTTTGAAGTAGATGAACAATAATAGGAAGTTAGCTTTTGGCTGATCAAGCTTAAAAAGTCTTGCATATATATAGCGGATTTTTCTATACTTCTAGAGGTACTTTGTGATATATTAACAAGATGTTGATACGATTTTACTCTGTTTATAGAGTTTGCAAGAGATACTTTGAGTCTTTCAGACAAGAACTTTGTTTTAAGTTATTTGATCTATGATATAGACTTCCAATCCGGCCAAGTTCAGCATAAGATAGCGTTAGATTGGGTATATATAGAAACAGACAGACGGCAGCTATTGCTGATCAAGAATTTATATATATATATATTTTATGCTGTGGATTCCTAGGATTCTAAACAACATTTTACTATTGCCTGCAAATTCTTAAGCTATATATATAGCTTTGTTTATTGAAAAACAAAAACAACACATTAAACATCTGACAATATAAACATTTTATAACCCTTGGCTACAACATATATCGAACATATATAAATATATAAATAAGCGCACACATATAAGTATTTCCGCCTATTAAGTACACTGTCTAACCAAAAACCGGCTATAAATTCGGACAATTCTGATACAAAGTCGTCGCACCGTGCACAATTCGAGGTGTCTATATATTATCTCACAGCTAGAAATATATGCGTTATACATTCAAGAACTTGTCACTCGACGGGCGAAAATGGAATTTCTTAGGCCAAACTTCTCTCTTACCTCAACTCTGCAAAACTTACCGCATAGAGCGTGTTGAGAATGTTGAGGAAACACTTAAAACAGCCGGAAGTACAGCCCATGTTGACGAACAAGATACCAAATGTTGAATTGATTGGCGTATATATATTAATATTGTATTATTGTTATATGTATATATATTAAATATACACAACCGATCGTATCGGCGTCAGCTGCCCGAATGATGCCAGACACAAAGGCATTGAATAGATTTTCTGTTCTTCAAGTTTTGCACAGTGTTGTCGAGTTGCTGGAATTGGAATTATTCTCGTTTTGGTGCCGAAATTCAAACTGCGAATGTCGCGTGTTTATGTTTTCTTTCTATTTTTTTTTTTTTTATTGGAAAACGACAATTAAACTAATTTAATCGTTTAGTTTGGCTCGAAGCGCGTTACAAATAACTAAATTGCACTACAAATATGCTGCGCCAGGTCTAGTCCTCATTAATGGGTGTCTCGTCATCCTTGATCTTCAAGAGCTTACGCGCCTTGCCCATGAGAAATGCAAAGAGCATGCTTAAAAGCTGTAATTAATAATTGTTTAAATTAGCACTAAGTAAATATTTATTAGCCGAGCTTTACCTCCAGCACAAATATGGCAATGGCTGCGTAATAATTCACATCAGCCTGAAATTGCAAGCCCTGAATGGCCTTTGTGCCGCAGCCCTCCTGATAGATATGCCCGGCCACAGTGCAATCGAAGGCATAACAGCAGCTAGCCGGCAAGGCGCCATGCTCCTTGGCCAAATAGTCCTGCGGCCCCTCCAGGCCACAGCAGCGGAACAGGCTGTGTATGGGCTGCATGGTGTCATTCTGATTTGATCTCTCTGCGAACAGACGATTAATGCGCTCCTCGAACCGCCACATCAGCTGGCTTTTCATGCTCGAGAAGATGATAAAGTAGATGACCAGCATAATGCTGGCCAAAATGCTGCAAATAATATACTGCAAGATATATGAGACTTGAGTTAAAGGAAAATTATGTGTGATCTATATATGGGAGGCACTCACATAATTGGAGAACTTGTAGGACTCCTTCAGAGCGACATAATGTCCCAGGAAACTGACAGCAAAAATAAGAGCGCCGCAGAGAGCAGACGAATAGCCACCGTAGACCGAAGCCGAAGAGCCCCAGGTGACAACGCCGCACGAGAAGAAGAGTATGTTAAAGCCCTGTTAAAAATAAATGATATAAGCCATTAAAATAATCGTAAAAAACACGACAAAAAACAGCCTCAATTAGTTTAACAGCAGCAGCGCAGCAAAACGTTTACGAATACAGCACAAAGAGGGAATACAAAAATCGCTTGATATTGATACAAATGAAAGCAAGCTCAATGTGTCTGCATATGAGAAGCAGCGCAGCACAAAGAAGAATTAGAAATAAAGGCAGATACCTGTGCATTGTGTGTATATTAGCAGCAGTGCAGTAAAACGTTTACGAATGCAAAGCACAAAGAAGAATTCAAAAATTGCATGGTATTGAATAAAGGCAATTCCCTGTGCAGAAACTCTGTACATATGAGCAACAGTTAAGGGTAGTAAAACGTTTACGAATGCAAAGCACAAAGAAGAAGTGAGGAAAAGCAAGTGAATTTGCTTAGAAAGCATATTTGTGCAGCACAGTGAACAGTTAATGAAGCAAACAAGGCAAATTGAAATGTCTTGTATTTTTATGAGAAACGAATACACGGTGCATTTGTAAATAGTGTCGGAAGACAGGCGGCATTTCGTTCAGTTTAAAAATATTACAGCTATAACTATGGGCATGAAATGATGTGGGGCGCGGCGTCGAGCTGGCAATTATGCAAACATTTTGCCGCATTACGTATACCACATGTATGCCAAAACGAGATCGAAAGTAAACATTGATATAAATTTAATAGCAATTGATGGCCAAGTGCTGACAGCTGTTTATATCCCTGATAGCTACCATCAAGACAGCTTTGATGATAATATCGATTTATAATTTTTTCTGCATGTGCTGAATGAATATGTTGCTGCCTGTGCGCGGTCGATATTTAGAGCAAACGGCCTGGTCAACGACTGGGTCAACACTTACCGCAATCAGAATGCATGTTGTGAACAGAGCATATTTCCAGGGCCCTATCGAAAATGACTTCTCCATGATGCTGCCCAGCAAGACGACTAAAAACAACTAGAGAAAATAGCACAGTTTTAGACACGGCAAAATCTATTTTCACGCTTATTACACTTACGAGCGATTTTTGACTAGCTGCAATTGAATAGAGGCCGTTTCCGCCTTTATGCGTCGTCGTCTGTGACAATGACAGTGAACAATGCCGTGTCTATGCTGCGTTGCGGGGCAAGCATATTATTGACGCGCCGCCGATTGAGCCAAGTACGGACCCGGTTGTGGTGTCATTTATGGCCCGAACGCTGCCAGTCGACTGACGGCTGACACGGTTTTAGCTTCAGTTTTAGTCGTCGCATTTGGCGCAGGCGCTTCGACTATTTATATACAGGGTGTCGCATTGAAGGGTTCGTGCAAGAAATAAATAAATATTTTGCAAAAAATATATATTATAATTGAACTTAGGCTATTTTGGTAATTCGCTTGTGTGTCATTAAACAGTTGGCCAAAAGCAATCAAATGGACAAGTTGATTTTTGCATTGTGCATATGCCTGACAAATATCGGCGATGTGCAGGCAAGTATATTATTTATTCACAACAGATTTGTCATTTATGCCGCATTTAGGGCAGTTTTCTGCGATTCACGAACATCACGTGCGAGAGCAAGGATCTGAGCACGAACTCGATAGAGTATTGCTATGTCGGGCATTTGGATCGCCTGAGAAACTATATAAGTGTGCGCTATAAGCTAGCTCAGCCTTTACAAAATGGCTTTTTCGTAAGTATCTAGCGGATAAGCCAAGCTGAACTGCTTTTAAGCCTGCCAGGGATGAAGTTCCGTTTCAGATTGATGATCAGAAACAACAATAGCTGGCAGCCGTTTCTATATGCCATCGATATAGACTTGTGTCGCTTCTGGAAGTCGCGCTATAATGCCATAGCCAAGCTGTTGTATGGCCTAATTGAGGGTCACACCAATCTGAACCACACCTGCCCCTATACGGTAAGACTTGACGATCTTATGACTTATAGATTGCCTACAAGTGCTGTTCTTCCAGAAGGAAACGTTTGTGACTGTAGACAGAGTGCTGAACACGGATATATCTAAGAAAATACGCGGCTTGCCCTTGGGCAAAGGACACTATGCGGTTTTCACCAGCTGGTCCTGGAAAAACGCAACACGAGCCATAACAAATATTTACCTGGAGGTCTTGAATGATTAACCAGCTAAGTATATTGTTGGGCTTGTTTAGATTGAACAATTAAAAATACATTATAATCGAAATCAAATAATTTTGTGCGCTTATTATACCCTGTACTTACTGCAAGTGGGCAATGATAAACTAGAGTGTTTGTTCAATTCGGCAGTGCATATCTCATAATGATAGGAAAACAAAATGCCAGACGCTTAAAGAAATTGTTTGCTTAGTTTTTTAAAATTTTTTTAAATATTTATCAACGTTTTTTTTTAATATTTATTTTTCTCTTATTTTCTGAGTATTTCGAAACGATTTTTTTGAGTGGAGCCAAATTTGACATAATGCCAATAATTTTCGCCTATAATCTTAAATCGAAAGGCAACGCGTAAAATATTTTCTTAAATTTAGATCAGTTTATTTTTCGAATAATTTTTGAATACAGGGCATCGGCTGGTCGTGCACATTTGGGCAGAACATAATTATATGTTGATGCTTATTTCAATGTGATCATGCCAATCGAATTGTTTGCATAAACATTCGCCTAACAACAATCAAATGGACAAGTCGAGCATTAAATATTTATGGCTAATACCCTTGTGTATATGCCTGCTAAATGTCGGCCAAGCAAATGTAAGTATCTAGAATGTGTATATTTGAAAAGCAAACTGCATATAAACAAAATCTAGGCAATCTTTATGAAATTCACAAACATTACCTGCGACAGCAAATATAAAAATCTGGCTACTGTGGAATATTGCTACATCGGGCAGGTGGATCAACTGCAAAACTATATGAGTCTGCGCTACAAGATCTTCGAGCCAATCAAAAGGGAGCTTTTCGTAAGTATTTCAAAAGGAACTTAGTCAAATTTAGTCGAAAGGCAGTTTCATTTCAGATTGATGATCAGACGAAATGGCTGGAAGCCATATCTGTACGCCTCCGACATAGATATGTGTCGTTTCTGGAAATCGCGCTATAATGGCCTGGCCAAGCTCATATTGGGATTTCTGGATGGACACACAAACATGAATCACAGCTGCCCCTATGTGAGACTAGAGTGCATAGTTCGCATACAAATAATTCAAATCGATTTTCAATACTTTTCAGAATGAGAACTACATTTATATTGATAGGGTAATGAATACGGATATATCGAAGCGGCTGCCAGCTCTGCCCCTGGGCAAAGGGCATTACGCGCTCTTCACCAGATGGTCATGGAAGAATGTGACACGCACCTTGTCGAATATCTACATTGAGGTTACAAATGATTAGCCAGTTAATTATACCTATATATATAGAGTAAAATTTGTGGCTTTAATATTGAAACAATTAAATATTAGTGTAGTTTTAATTAAAATAATACTTAAGGCTTAGGGTTAAACTTTGATTACATCCAGACGGCATTGTTGCGCCGATCTTGATTCTTCAGGCCCGTTAAGAGCAGCCAGCCCAAGGCGGCGCCAATTGCCTGAAAGAGTTCAAAGTTCAGCTAAAATCTGCAGCTCTCATAATTCTAGTTACTTACCTCGCCCACGATTAGCAGCCAGCAGACAATCTTGAATATCAACAGCCTGTCATCCAGATACTCCACGAACTCTGACTTGCAGCCGACTTTGTAGACTTGGGTTAGGTTCGCACACTTGAGCTCGGGACAGCAGCTCCTGGGCACAGCGTGATTGATGACCGCATAGTCCTCGGAGCCATTGACGCCGCAACAGTGCAGCCAGGACTCGTAGTAGGCCAAGGCGCCGGTCTCATTGCGTTCGGCGTCCCACAGCTGCTCGAAGCCCTCATTAATGCTGCCCGAGATGCCATCCTTGGTGCCGTGCGAGACCATGCTCAGGAACAGCAGCTGTATGAGTATCAGCACCACAATCGAGACGACATACTGTACAGTGAGGATTCAGAGTTAGTTAACGTATTTCCAGTTTAAGGCAGTTGCACCTACAAAGAGCAGACGTCGGGACGACTCGTGCGCCGCCGCCAGGCAGCCAAAGACGGCAATGATGACTATGACGACGCCCAGGCCAATGATTAGGCCGCCAGCCACATTCTCGCCAATGCTCACCGCAGTTACGTATGCTCTTGAAAGACGATAAAACAAGTAAGTTTTGATTATATATAGAAATAAACAGGTTCTTTTTTAGTATAATCAGATCGAGAATACTCAGTTTAACGTTAACACATAATACAATATTTTCACATATAAACTTCCACTCTTGTGCTATATTCTTCCATACATTATATTATATATTATTTGATGTATATTATATATTATATATAAAACATAATATATTATTTATTATATATTTCATATATTATATATAAAATAATATATATTATATAAAAAAAAATGTTCTCAGATTTAGATGTCAAATTGACCTAGAGGCCAAACCATTAAGAAAAAGCCAAACCTTATGAAAATCGGTTGAGTTTTGACCGAGTTATGGGGGTGGGAAATTTGGATCTATGTCTATATAGGATAGTTGAGGGTACAATTTTACATGAATTTGGACCAAAAATAATGTTGCCAGTTTTGGATACAAAATTAATCTAGAGGCCAAACCATGCACAAAAAACTAAACCTTTTGAAAATCGGTTGAATTTTGACCGAGTTATGGGGGTGGGAAATTTCGACATATATAGGATAATAGGTATACCCCGGCCTTGCCGATGGCACGTTTAAAATAAATTCTCTCAAAGATCTTTGTAAATCAGTTTTGAACCAATCGGATGGTAAACAAAATACTTTCATACAACTGTTTTCACCCAATTTACCACTGTTGCAGTTCTTTCAGCCATGCTGGAAAACCCCCGTCCACTGTCGGAAAATGCACGGAAAACTGTGTAAACTAATTTGTATTGCATTCGAACGACTTCAAACTTAAATTATTGTATAGTTGCACATTAGAAAATTATTGAATACATGTTCTGGAAAATACAGCCCATAGCAAACAATAAAATGTATGACACATAAAATATATGGAAAACTGCGCTGCAATATAATGAATACTTGCCAGTTGTATATAAAATGACTTACAGAAAGAAAATGCCAAAACCAATCAGCAGCAAGCCGAGCACCTGTAATTAAATAGAAACAGGTGCGCAATTTTATTATTGTTTCTCATTTTTTTTTTCTCAATGGCAACTTTTACACACCGCATACACAAAGTTCAGCAGCAGCAGCAGATGCTTCACTGTAGTCTCCGACAGGCCCATCTTGTTGTTGTTATTATTGCTGTTGTTGTGGTTGTTGTTGCTGTTGTTGTTGTTGTTGTCGTGTTGCAGCTAGCGAAGATGCTGACGAGACGTGCGACAGCTGTCGCCCTGGCTAAACGACTAATCGACTAACCGACTAATCGACTGGCTGACTAGTCAGACTGGACCTTGCGATTGTTGGCTATTTAAATCAGCGACACCGCGCAGAATGCATTAAGTGAGTATTACGTATATGGCAGTAGCAAGTTTTTTTTGGTAGTACGTATAGAATGTGTATCCGACGGATGCAAAATCTGTGAAATCTCTGCTGGCTGACCGCTGCCTTTCAGTGCCGTGAAACAACTGAAACTTGCTGTGTGTTTTTATTTTGAATTTTTAGTTTCGTTTTTTTTTATTTTTCTGAAAATGCGAGTAGCACAGTATATATGTTCTATACAAATGTTTTCACTCAGCCATTGATCTATGTATAACAGCGGGGCAGCTCGAGAAAATCGAGAGACGTGCGAGACGCCCACGTGGCTGCTCTTATTGGGAAAGGCGAAGGCGCTTCTCCGTGTGTGTGTGTGTGTGTGTGTGTGTGTGTGTGTGTGTATCTGTGTTTTTCCATTTTATCTCTTGACATGCTCGTTGAGGCTTGTTATTATTGCTGTTTCCATCAAAGTTGAATCCTACTCATTTTCAGATTTTTTTTTTTCTGCGTTTATTTTATTTATCTGGCAGTCAACAAGAAATTAGTCAATAGCAACAGGTTTTTATTATGGTTTTTGTTTTCGTATTATTTTATTATTTTTTCTTATGACGTGGGAGTTGGTTTACAACGCCGCAAGCGTTGTTTTTATTGATTCGATGCGCTGGCATTGATATTTTTATCAATGAATATAGTAAAATATGTTATTTTTTTTTGCTGTACTAAATTACAAATCACAATGGCACAAAACTAACTAAGCATAATAATAATACAGTTACAGAGCGACAATAATCAACAATTAAGGCTTAATTATAGAAACGCACGCGATCGCGATGATTTCGTATGCTATCCACCAAATAGCAGGTGGCCACCGAGCCCATAAACTGCAGGTGAATGGGAGATAATAAATGAAAAACAAAATAATTAATTTGTTGTTGGTGAAATAATGAGTATGTTTTGAATTGTACAATTAAAGGTATTAAGTACTTAGTTATTAAGAGGATATATTTTGTGAATCTGATGAAATTCAAACAAGTATCCAGTAGGATCAGTGTAAGTAGGACGAGTAACATATGAACAAGAATATAAGTATTTTGAGTAGCATGAGCTTAACAGTTTGAGTATTATGAGTATCATGCTATAACAGAATGAGTATTTCGAATATCATAGCAATCAGTATGAGTATTATGAGTATCTCTAGTTTTATGTTATGCGTATTATGAGGACTACGTTCATCAGTCAGGATTAAAAACCAACTGCTTGTCTGAAGTACAACAGTGTGAGTATTTTGAGTATCAAGTGATTAACAGTATGAATATTATTAGTATCTCAAGTGATTTACTATAAGTATTATGAGTACTACGCACCTCAGTCAGTATTAAAAACCAGCTGATTGTATGAAAATTGGCTGTTTTCTTGCTAACATATTGTTTAAACTTGATCTCACAGCCTTCCATGAACAGATTCAAGGGATTCGTGCAATCACGCTCAAAGCAGCAGCTGGCTGGCAGCTCCCGCTCCAGCAAAATGTAATCCTCGGCGCTGTTGCGACCACAACAATGCAGCTGTTGGTTAATAAAGAGGTCAATTATAATATTTCTTTGGGAAACCATATTTCCACATACTCACCCACTCCTCGTAGATGCTCAGTGTGTTATTGTGCCTGTGATGCACATCCCAGAGCTCATCGAAGCCCTGTTTCAAGCTGTTTGGCAAGGCATCTCTGCTCGCCGCAAAGCTAATGCTAAACATGACAAACTGTATGACCAACAGCAGAATTAATAAGACCGCATACTGTTCAAAAAAGTAAACTTAATAAATGTCATTTCATATATAAAAGTTTACGCACACTTATCAGCATCTTTTTGCACTCCTTGACCAGGGCCACAGTGCCGAATATGCTGGCCAGTATAACGACAATGCCCAACAGAATGCAGAGTATGGCAGCCAATTTCTCGCCATGATCAACAGCATTTCGTTGCTCGGCAATGCTGTCCAGCAGCCAGGTGCCATACCAGATGAGCAGACAGCCATTAAGCTATTTAAGGGGGATGGGTATGTAGATTAACTTGGGAATGAATTTGTTCAATGTCACAGCAAAAGCAACAGATTGCAAAATGTTACGATTTATTTTTGGGCGCTAAACACATTTAAAATTTTCACAAAACGCGACATGTTCCAAATAACGAATTTGGGTTAGATTATGGATTGCGGAATTCCCCAATGTTTGGCCAAATATCAAGTTAAATTTCAAGCAAGTCAGGTTAGTTAGCACTATTTTCCAACACTGTAGGCCATAACAATCACAATTTGCAAATGCAAAACATTTTTTTGAGGCGACTGTTCCCAGTTACGAAATCGATCCAGAATAATGACTACGCAATTGTTTCCCCATACATATTCCGCTCAGTTTCTGATTGTGAGCACCGTTAGCCAACACTGTAAGCCATTTCAGGATTCGCAACCGCCAAAATATCGCTATTGAGCCTTTTGAGGAGGCTGTTCCGAGTTACGAAATCGGTTTACAATTGACGGTTACGAAATTGTTAACTTTTATTATTATTATATACAAATCATGACTGTGAACACAGTTTGCCAACACTTGAAGTCCTTTCGATCAGAATTCACCAGCGCAAAGATATTGCTGCTTGTTTTTTCAAGAGGCTGTTTCGAGTTACGAAATCGATTTAGAATAATGTCTACGAAATTGTTTACTATTTTGGGTTTCGCAAAAAAACAAAGTTTGAGGCAAAATCTTGATTGTGAACACCGTTTGTCAACACTGTAAGCCCTTTGGAATTCTCAAACGCAAAACGCCAAAAAAATGTTTGCTGTTAAGTCATTTTGTTTTTGTTGCTTTGGCTTTTGGTAATTGGGAACAGGGCTGATTGTTAAACTTACAGCATAAATCACATCGATGACACACAGTATGTAACGCAGCAGGCGCGTGGTGCAGTACATTTTGAGTTTGGACGTGGCCACTAATAAAACATGACACACACGGCGAAACGCTCACTTATAATTAGCTGCGCTTAACGTTTCACGCGCTAAAATTTAACAATGTGAAAAAAAAAACTAGACAAAATATTGTTCGAAACACTTTGTTTTGTGCGGCACACCTTGAGCAGCGGCAATGGTCGCACGGCAAATACTCGGAGCCGACTCATAATCTGAATTTGTTTGGCCGCATCTGGCGATGTCGCTGGCAGTTGAACGATTAACCCACAGTTCTTGTCGCCAGTCGTCAGACGGCAATGCAATAGACTAAAAGAAACAAATATATACAAAAGCCCCGCAGAGAATTGTCGTCTATATCTATAAACATAAAGTCAATATCAAAAGAAAACTCAGCCAAACACATATGATGAAAATTAGCGTAAGGCGCCCACGCGCTAAAAGATGAACACACAGATACAGATACAGATGCGACTACAGCCACAGATACAGATACATTTATAGATATGCAAGCGGATGCCAGAAGACTGACTAACGGAAACTGCGGGCTGCCAGCACGGGGCCCAACTGTTTGGCCCGAGACAATGATGTCAACAAACCAAATTTGAGCTAAGAACCGAATGCTTTGACTATTTTAGCATTGAAATTGCCCTTCAATGCAGCGGGTGGTCAACAGGTTCGGGCACATAAATATTAAGATCTCTCGATTCTATATACCCTGCAGGTGGGGAAAATAGAACTGCGGCAGGTAAACAACAGATTACAAACTTGTTTCTATTCGACCAAAGGCAGATCGCAATTAGTTCGAACCAGCTCGTGGTTCAATTTCAATTTGAACACAATTTAAACCCGATTGAACCAGCTTTAGGCTCAACTCTTAATTTGTCCTGTATTTTCTTTCAATTTTTAAAAGCTATTAAATTATTTATTTACATTTGCCCCACTGTACTGAAAATATTGCACTCTCTACATTTTTTTCATATACAAAATGCGGGCTAGATTTAATTTCCACCCAAAATTGGCATCTAATCCAAATATGGTTAGATAAATCCAATAGTTGGGGCTGAAGTTATTTATGTCTTGGGGGCCATAAAAGGTTAAAGGCAAACATTTTTTAACAATGGAAATTGTTTTTCAGCTCTTACCCGGAATTTCGATTTATATATATATTAAAATCAACTGAACTTTAGGCCTGTGATTTAGTTTAATAAATATAAATCGGAATTCCGGGTTCAAACCTTGTCAACGGCATTTAAAAAGATAAGCCTCCGATTTATCGTAAACATAATTTTAAGCATACAATCCAAAAATATAATAGTTACTTCACATATAATGTAATAAAAGGGTGTATGCTAGTCGACTATGCCCAACAGGTTTACATCATTTTCTCTCGTTTTTGACAAACACTTTGTTCTGTTTGATTTAGTAGGTATTTATTGTAATTAATACAAAATCTACACATTCTATTTTATTGCTTGAAATGTTACAAATTGCAAGATTACTTATCGTAGGCACTGTGTATCGCTCGTAGTGAAAATCGAAGAGAATAAAACATTTGTGACAAACTTATACAAATAAAAACATGCATATAAATATTGTACGACATATATATGTATATAAATATAGATATATCTATATTTCTATATAGACATCGAAATCGGCTTGAAGACTGCTTTTGGCACCTGTTGTTGAGCTCTGGAAACGGAATCGTTTATTTTCTTCATTTTTGATTGGATGAACATGAGGTAGACTAGCAAAACGCCGCAATATTTAGACTGGAAATTCGATTGCTTAGTGTAGTGTAGTGCAGTGTAGTGCAGTGCAGTGCAGTGCTGTGTAGTACAGTGTAAGTGTATTTGCACAGTATTGAGAATTCTTTGGCCTTGAGTATGCGCATTATGAAGTGTGCTGAATGCATGTTCAATTATTTTGGAAAATATTTGGAGCGTCTCCAGCGATTCACAATGCTGTGGGCCAGCACATAGGCGAGCAGTGCGCAAATGATCTGGAACCGAAACGAGTGCAACAAATTAATACAAATTGATCAAAACAAACAAGATTCAAGATTCATTCACACCTCGACGCCAACCAGAACCAGTGCGAATATATTGAATGCTGTCCAGCGTTCGGCAATATAGTCCAAGAACTTTTGACGACAGCCCTCCATGTTCAGTTTGTTCGTGTCGCTGTTGTAGCAGCTATTCGGGGGCAGCAAATAGTCCTTATAGCCGACATTGCCGCAACAATCGAGCTGTCAAAGGAGACATTAGTTAAATCAGTTTGATATTGTCGTTACAAGTCGTTACCCACCCAACGTTCGATGCTCGCTATTTGGCTGACATTGCCGGGCTTGACAGGCACCGGCTGATCGTGCCACAGCTGATCGAAGGTCTTGTCCACATTGATGAGCAGCGATGTTTGGAACAGCCAAAAGAAGCCCACTGTCAGCACTTGCAGAATGATCAGAACAACCACAATGGCCACAAACTAAAAGTACGCCAATAATAGATTTATATACTCTCAGTCAAATGACAAAACACTTACCGACTTGGACATGCGACTGCTCTCACGTAGCGCGCCCAGGGTGCCAAAGAGGGAGGCCAGCACAATGACGATGCCAGAGACGAAGATGACGAAGGCGGCTGTATCGAAATGCTCGAATTTGAAAAATATATGCACGCCCAGGGCAATGACAATCAGACCGAAGAGCTGCGAAGTCGAAAATATTCAAATAAATCAGTTGATATTTAGCTTATAGTCATAGTACGATCAATTTTATAGACTACGGCATGTGTCTAGCATTTAATGAGTCGGCTTTATTGAACTATGCTGGCCATTTAATAAAAGTAAGGCTTTAAAATAATCAAAATATGTCAGACGCTGCGTATACTTTATATGCAAATGCATCAACTAAGCGGCTTATTACTCATACGCAGCGTTTTCAGCCTGATGTAAACACACTTTAAAGCTGCTCAGTTTTGAGCTCATGCAACCAGTTAACCTTTATATATATAGCGCATATAGCATCAGCAGATTTCAAAAAAAATTGTTAGCTCGCATCACGCATACGCAACGTATTCGCGCGCGCATCGCAGCTTTAGCTTTAGCCTTTCACTAATTTTTTTGTTGACTTTCGCCTGCACAATTAGCTCAAATTTGCTGCAATTGCATTTTGAATTTTCAACAATGATTCACGCTTTCGAGAACATTTCACACTAGTCCGCGAATGTAAACAGTTTTCGCATTTGGCACTTGGCACACTTGGCAAACGTTGTGTTTTTGCTGGTATTGTATTTGCACTATCGGCAAACGGCACATACACTCAAAATACTTTAATAAATGCGCAATAATTATTTATACATTGTTTTTACTGCATTCATGGTTTGTTCAATGTTTACAAACGGCAAGTTGTTGGCAACACAGTTGCGAATAATAATTACAATTGTAAGAAACCAGTTAAAATCCCAAACAAATATCGTTGTTGACACTTGGCAATAGAAATGGATGCGTGACACGAACACGAGTCGATGAGCGGCATGCTGTATGTAGAGTCTAAAGCATAGGACCTTTCTATGCGATTCTCATGAACTCAAGTATGGTTTACTTACTTTGTTTTTCGTAATTTGGCGAGTGAAGAGGGTAAGAGGGCAACTGGAAGCGAGTGACACAGAGAGAGAGGAAGGAGATAGGAATAGAGAGAGAGAGATGTATAGAGAGAATGAGGGAGTGAGAAAATGGAGAGGGAGAGAGTGATAGAGAGAGCGAAAGACAAAAAAGAGAGAGGGATAGAAATAGAGAGAAAGGTATAGAAAGAGAAAGAAAGAGAGAGAGAGAGAGAGAAACATAGCGAGAACGAGTCACAGTCGCTCTTACTCACTTCCATTCATTCGTATACTAGCCTATCTTAAATACCGCCCCTCTATACGATTCTCACGAATTAAACTAATGCTAACTGCGTTTAACATTCGATTCTTTTAGTCTTTTAACCTAAGTATTTTAGCTTCTGTTGAAGTGCACGTGCTTCTCGTGTCACGACTAGAGCCCAACCCTACATGGCGCAGTGCCAAACTTCCGGCTAAATGTTTGACTTGACAGCTGGTTTGGATGTCACGTTAAGTAGCCCCCCAATGGCTTTCAGATTTTCCAAAGCCTTAGCCCACAATTGGTGAGCGCAACGCGGTAATTATGACAGATTTGTGCGATTTATCATGTTGACTCAATGTTTGTATATTTTTTTGTTTATTATTTTGCTGTTGTTGTTGTTGTTTTTTTTTTTGGGTTTGTCTAGCGCAAACACATTTGGCATTTGCTGTAATTTGTTGCCATAACTGGTTGCGATGTCTTCATAAATTCAAAGTTTATCTGCGCACAGCTGCGCCTTTTAAGGCTTCATAGTGTAATTGAATAAAGGTCGATGATTAATAAATAGCTCGACAATATTAGCCTGCCTGCCTGCCTGCCGCGCCCTCCCCAATGAATAACAATTATGCAAATTAACAAATAGCTTAGTACCAGACAATTTTAATTGCTGTCGCCTAACAAGGCGCATGTAAATGAAAGCCGCAACTAAATATGGCCAAGAAAAATGTTGATAGCCACATAATATTAATAGACTGGTAAAAACAATTTGTATGCCACGAGATTACTCGTTTTTCTCTCTCTCTCTCTCTCTCTCTAAACACAGCATGATAAAGTCATAAATTAAAGTCTGATAAAGTGTTTACAGCACGCCGTAGATAACAACTCGACAGACAGAACATAATTTAGTTTTGAGCCTATTTGGAGGCATCTGGCATCATGTCTAGATACAACGCCATTTAATTGTTATTTATTAGGCATGGCGCCCAATTTTTGTTAAGGGCAGGCGCTGACATAACACTCGACTCTCCGAAATGGGCGTCAAGTCGAGCACAGCCCATAGAATCAAAGTGGCAATGGCAATGAGTCCATAAGCACGTCATGCCTGCCACATGAATCAGACCCAATTTTTGGCATGCCTCAATTCAATTGTGCTTTGCCAGCTCTTAACTTACTTAAGTACAGACTAAAATGTTACATGTGTTATCTCTCCTAATTAGCACTGATAACAGGCGAAAGTGTCGCACAGCAACAGCAAATACAAATACAAAAGAACAATACCAATTAACATAGTCTAATGTCTGCACTATTATTAGAAAAGTTAGATAAGTTAAGATATCAAATATATGATGTACGTGCTCAAAGTATTATTTACTTTAGATAAGTAAGGTGGATAACATTATGTTTCAGATATGCAAATAATATGTACCTAAAATATTATTTTTATTAGATAAGCCATATTTATGACAAGCTGCGATTGTTTTTATTAGATAAGCTTTAAAGACTGGCAAAACTTTATTTATGATAGCGATATATATGCATATTGCATACATTTATATAGATTTTTAGACAATTATAATAAAGATATAGACTTCGATTTTTTTTGATTTTGTAAATATGGTTTGCATATGTACTTATGATATTATTTTTATTAGGAAATGTAGATAGTTTGATGAAACTATATTTATCACAGAGTTTTATTTTATTAGATAAGCTTTATAGATTGACATAACTAGTTACTAGACATAACGCAGTTATATATATGTAGGTTGTGATGGGAATGTTTGTCGTTTACTTTACATAAGCTTCTCTTTTCGTCGATAAACGATTAATTTTATATCGATAACTTATAAAAATGATCGATAAAATTTCGAACTAAGGCTGGATGAACCTACAATCCTACTTACATTTATCTAGAATTTTAGATAAACTAGTTGAACCCTTTTTTTTATAAAGACTGTTTTCTTTGATAAGCTAGGAAAGTAGACAAAACTGGGCTTAGTCTAAAAACTGGGTCTAATGAAATAACTGTTGCTTTAACAGGTGTTTTTCATGCGCTTTCCCACAGCCACAGCACATGACAAACAACTGCTCAGAGCTGCAATAATTTCATGACCTGCTGATGCTTTGCCTTACAAACAAGTGAAAAGAGAACGTGTTTACATACTGTTTGTTTGTGTAGCGAGTGCAAATGCATTAAAAGTGAATTAAATATTATTAATAAAGTACATTTCTATGCTCCAGCTGTTACTTAATAGTAGCTGCTACCTAATATAATAATAATCAAAATAATAATAAGATAATAATTCAAAGAAAGCAATTTGAATTACCTAAAGTTACCTTTAATCAAGTCTGTCTTTCTTTCATTCATATTTGCTCTGCGCTAGTCAATTGGTTCGACATTTGATCGTAATTTGCATTAATAAACTTATACAACTTGTTCTAATTTGCCCAGCAGACAAACAATTAAATGCAATTATCATATATATGGACAGACAAGTGCGTAAGCAAGGCCACGCCAGTGGCAAATGTATATTTGCATAGAGCTGATAAGCCCGTAGAGCTGATTAGACTTTGGCTCAGCTGGGCCCATAAAAGCAGCTCACACAACAAACACCCTCCTACTAGCTAATAGTTGCGAATGCGAACAGCATGTGGTCTATAGAAACCCAAAAAAAAAAGTAACTAGAATAACTAGACAAATGTCATTGAGCGCAGAGCAGTGCTGAGATTTATGTGGGTTTAACAAAACAGACAGCCAGACTTGACAACAAGAAAAAAAAACAATATAAAAAGGTTGTGCCCTACCTCAAATGCAGGGCGGGCGTATAGGCACAGCTGGCATTTAATTAAAAACACGCGGTCGCACCGAATGAAGTAATTTTCAAGCCAAAAACAACAACAACAACAACAGCAACAAAAGAAGAAGAGCTGCTCGTCAGTAAATCAAAGTTTACTCGCTTGGAACCAATGCGGCAAATGTTGCGCATACGCCGCGTGGTGCGCTGTTACTTTTGGCATTTCCTTTGGTTGGCACATTTTTGTTTTTCGGCTTATTTTGAATATTTTTTCTTTAAGGTTATTGCCGAAAAATATTTGAATTTTCGAAATTTTGCAACGCCAGCGCGTCTGAAAATGACATCAACAAATTTTCAGTGCCTGAAACACAGACAAACACAAATACAGGCCAAAAGACAAATAAACTACAAATTCTATATGGCTAGGAGCAGTGACGCGATGCTATACACACACACACACACACACACACAGACAGACAGACACACACATAGACATATTTTGACCGCCTTTTGCTCAGGGCCAAGTTTCGTGGCGTGGGTGACCAAGTTTTTATATATCAATAATTTTTTGAATTTTATTTTTGCCGCTGAGCGCATAAGCAAAAATCTTGTTTTTTTTTTGTGTTTTAAAACAAATATAGTTCGTAAAGAAATAAACAATAAATTAAGTGAGTTCGGCATGCAGCAATTTTGACATGTGCTTTAATATTTAGGCATTCGGACCAAAAAACACAATTAAGGCAAAGATCATAAAAAAAACATAAATAAATATTCACTTTGCAATATTACTTAAAAAAGCTTGGACAAGTATTTTTATATTTGGGGAAAACTACGGCCAGTTCAGACTGAATCATGAGCTGAAACAGTTGGAGATGGACGAAGTTCCTTTTTAACACAAAACGACACGAACACGAGCCACAATCGAACACGACTTGTCAAATATTTTTATATTTATGGAAAACTGCGGCCAGATCAGACTGAATCATAAGCAGAAACATTTTGAGATGGACGAAGTTCCATTTAAGCAAAACGACACGAACAAGAGACACAATCGAACACGACTTATCACGCACGAACAGTTTTTGTTGTCCAGGAACTTTGCTCTTTCACTTTACTACATCATTTTAGCTATATTTTTATTAATATATATTATTTATTTACGTATATTTTAAATTTTTTATATATTTTCTCAAACTCGTGTCACGACACGAGGCACGCTCAGCTCTATGAGGAACTCGCAACTTGTCCGTGCCATGCACATAAAAATTAACTAAAACTTTTGCTTGCTAAATTTTATGCCTGAAATTCGATGAGCTGCGCCCAGTCTAAGCAAATTAACATAAGAACAAAACGTAGCATATTATTAATTTAATAGTAAACAAAAAAGCAGCAGAAAAGCAGCAGAAAAAAAATAAAACCAGGAAACCTTCAAATGTAATTGAAATGCTAGAAAATACAAACATTTAGCTATTCAATCAAACTGTAATGCTAGCTGTTGAAATGTTTAAATTAATCGGTATCAAGTGTATATAGTGTATATATATATATGTATGCCGTTATCAGGCGCATTAATTACACAACAATAAATACTTATGTGCCGAAGTCAAGGCGCGTATGTTACGTACTTTCCAACTAGATAAACAATTGCCAATGTTTTCGATACAAAGCGAGGAATGTGTGTGTAATTAAATAAACATATAAATTAAAATCTAGCCGGTGGCTGTAATTAAGAAAGAGTACAAACTCAAGACCTTCAACTAGTTAGTGGCAGCTACTTTCGAGTGTTCGGTGGGTTAGTCAACTCGGCGAGTTAATGAAACTTGTCTACTTCATGTAATTATAGCTCTTTAATGCTCTTATAATTATAAGGCATTTACAAATGCTCTAAAGTTCATAGGCCGTCATTTGCATAGGAACGTCTCGAGTTTCCGTGCCAACTTACCACATAGATTATGTCCCAGAACAGGGCGAATAGCTTGAGCAGCTTTGTGGAGCAAGCCATTTTGTTGTGTGTTTATTTTGTTTTCTATTCTATTCCTTTTAGAATTTGCCAAAATGCACTCTCTGTGAACTATTTTTGGGTGTGTTTGCCGCACGAGTTACGCGTTGTATTTGATTTTCACTTTTTGCTGCTGCTGCTGCACTTCGCTTGGCAACGCGACGCGCGAAACACTTGTTTGAAATTCAAAATATTTATTTTGAACTTGTAACGGTCGCTCTGGAAACCAAACCCGTCATGTTCGCGCACGAATCTTAACTGATTTGTTGATAGCGCAAAACATTTAACGCGAAAAGCAAAAACAACTTTTCGAAAATGAAACGAAACGCCGGAACGTGGCCAAAGTGAAACACAAAGCACGCGCGCGTCAGGCATGGGCATCGCAAAGAGGGGCTCGCGCGTTCCATTGCCAACGTTCCTCGGTGTGCGTGTGTGTGTGTTGGTAAACGTTCTCCGTTGTGTGTGTAGAAATATATTTGAATTAAAAAACGGCATAGGCGACAACTTTTGCGCTGAGCTATTTTTATAATAGTTGATTTACATACTTTTCAGCGTTTAGTCAAATGGTTGAAGGGGGAAGGGGAAGGGGGACTAGTTTATATATATAATATATATATATGCAAATGTTGTAAACTTTGCACAAGATGATTCATAGGTTTTGCATTAGATCAGCATGTTTGCAGTTAATACTGAAACTCTTAAAATAAGTCTAGCAAAAAGTTGAAAGAAAAGTCTAACAAGGCTGTTCGCTTAAAAGATTTCAGGCATTTAACCACACTTTATTTGGGTATTTTATGTTGTTTATTACAAATTAATATTGAAATAAATTAATTCACATTTCTTATATATATGTTCATACAAAATCGTTTTCTGTTTCTGTGTAAATAACACCATAAAAAGCATAATAAGCCACTAATTTGGTTACAATATCGAGTATGTTTGTGTGTGTATGTACATCAAAAGCAATTATTACTGTAGCATTTTCTTAGAAAATTCGCAAGTGTAAATGCTTCAGAAGTTGGTAACAATTTGTTGTAAAAAGTTTTGTGTTTAAAGCATTCATTTGTGAGGTACATTCAGAAGACCACAAGCTCTTCAACTCTACATAATAGTATAATAATAATTTAATCGCCATATAATAATATTATTTGAAGCCATTCAATTTCAACAAATGCAAGTTCCTTTTTCAGTAGAATGAGCGACGATGATCGTTGCGAATACTGTTGCACAGGCCGCAGGACACAATGCTAAGGATTAGCTGGAGAGGGAGAGAAAATACATATTATATAATTAGCTCGCATTTACGTATATGATTTATTGGGGGACAACTCACCTCAACGGCGACCAGCACCCAGCCGATAATATTGAAAATACTCAGCAAGTGCTGCCAATAGTTTTCAAACTCCACACGGCAGCCCGTGTGAATCAGATTATCGGCCTTGCTTCTGTCGTGATCCCGGAAACAGGTAGCCGGCGGCAGGCGTTCATTCACAATATAATCCTGAGGACTACCGCGACCGCAGCAATGGAACTGTAAAACGATATTATATTTTTAGTGTTGGTAAAGTGCACGCACAAGTCTTTTAATATCTATACATTTGATTTATGTGTGTATGTATGTGTGTAGGTATATATGCAAGTATGTATGCATGTATGTATGTATGTGTATATGTATGTATGTATGTGTGTTTGTATGTATGCATGTATGTGTTTATGTATGTATGTGTGTATGTATTTTTGTGTGTGTATGTATTTATGTGTGTGTATGTATGTACCTATGTATGTAAGTATGTATGTATGTGTGTGTATGTATGTATGTATGTATGTATGTGTATATGTAAGTATGTATGTATGTACATATGTATGTATGTATGTATGTATGTATGTATGTATGTATGTATGTATGTATGTATGTATGTATGTATGTATGTATGTATGTATGTATGTATGTTTATATGCAAGACGAAGATAAACTTTAGCGGGGCTGCAAATTAAAAAAAACAGGTATTCCTCACTAATGCCCTCCTCCTCGATTCTCATAAATTCAAGTAAGTCGCATAGAATTCACTTCACTTTAAGAGGAGGAGGCAGCAGCTTCAACGTTGGAGGAGGCGGCTTCAACTAACAAGGAGATGGCAGCTCGAGCAAAGGAGGAGGCGGCTGCTTCAGCAAAAGAGGGGCGGCCTTAACTAGGGAGGAGACGGCGGCCTCAACTATGAACGAGGCAACGGCGACTTGGGCAATAGAGGAGACGCCAACTTGACCAAAGAACGAAGCGGCAGCCTCAACTTCGAGGCAGGCGACGGCTTCAATATAAGAGGAGGCCGCGGCTTTAATATTGGAGGAGACTGTGGCAAATGCTTTGGCGGAGGAAACGCCATCACATTTAAATGTGACCATTGTGAGAACAGGTCTATATTAAAAAAAAAAACTATATATTTTTAAATGTCACAACTATGTATGTATTTAATGTGTATATTGTATGTTGCGTGAATATTGCTCTACTACTCGATCCTCATTAATTCAAGTATTAATAAACAATTCTTTTTTTTTTCTACTTTCAGATGTGTTGTTGATTATGTGTTTATATAAAAGTTCGTATCCCGCCGACCGATAGATGAGGATAAGCAAATCAAGCATGGGAATTTACAGGTAAGTACCCAATTACAAATTTTTATTTATATATTTATACTCGCGTGTATACCCCGGCTTTGCCCGGCAAAGGCGAACCTCGCGTGGAAATCGGTTGAGTTTTGACCGAGTTATGGGGGTGGGAAATTGGATCTATGTCTATATAGGATATTTGAGAGTATCATTTTACTTGATTTTGGACCAAAAATAATGATGTCAGATTTGGATGCCAAATTGATCTGGAGGTCAAACCATTAAGAAAAAGCCAAACCTTATGAAAATCGGTTGAGTTTTGGCCGAGTTATGGGGGTGGGAAATTTGGATCTATGTCTATATAGGATATTTGAGAGTACCAATTTTACTTGATTTTGGACCAAAAATAATGTTGTCAGACTTTGATGCCAAATTGATCTGGAGGCCAAACCATTAAGAAAAAGCCAAACCTTATGAAAATCGGTTGAGTATTGACCGAGTAATGGGGGTGGGAAATTTGGATCTATGTCTATATATGATATTTGAGAGTACCAATTTTGCTTGATTTTGGACCAAAAATAATGTTGTTAGACTTTGATGCCAAATTGATTTGGAGGCCAAACCATTAAGAAAAAGCCAAACCTTATGAAAATCGGTTGAGTTTTGACCGAGTTATGGGGGTGGGAAATTTGGATCTATGTTTATATAAGATATTTGAGAGTACCAATTTTACTTGATTTTGGACCAAAAATAATGTTGTTAGACTTTGATGCCAAATTGATTTGGAGATCAAACCATTAAGAAAAAGCCAAACCTTATGAAAATCGGTTGAGTTTTGACCGAGTTATGGGGGTGGGAAATTTGGATCTATGTTTATATAGGATATTTGAGAGTACCAATTTTACTTGATTTTGGACCAAAAATAATGTTGTTAGACTTTGATGCCAAATTGATTTGGAGGCCAAACCATTAAGAAAAAGCCAAACCTTATGAAAATCGGTTGAGTTTTGACCGAGTTATGGGGGTGGGAAATTTGGATCTATGTCTATATAGGATATTTGAGGGTTCCGTTTTTACTTGATTTTCGACCAAACATAATGTTGTCAGATTTGGATGCCAAATTGATCTGGAGGTCAAACCATTAAGAAAAAGCCAAACCTTATGAAAATCAGTTGAGTTTTGGCCGAGTTATGGAAGTGGGAAATTTCGACCTATGTCAATCAGTCAGTCAGGACAAACAGATATAGAGATACATGTACAGTGTTGGTAAACCCCTGCTGTATATATAGTTGAATACGCACCCAGTTCTCGTACAGTGACATGGCGCCAGGACTGTTGAGCTCCTCCTCCCAGGTCGTTTCCAATGCGTTGGCCAAATTCGATGCGGCTGTGCTTTCACTTCTCGTCAGCAAAAACAGCAGAGCCAATTGGATAATCATGATAACGTACAAAATCGTGATGAACTATGAAGCAGAAAGGTTGATTCATCAATTGATTGCCCTAGGTGGGTTGATGTCATGCCCATAGATTATCCACTTACAGTCACTGTGCAGCAAACATTCTCGCGCCAAGCGGCCAGATAGCCCCACAGGAAGATGATGATGGCCGCAACGCCAATGCCAATATACGAATAGGCCGCCAAGGAGCCAATCTGATTGGTATCGTAGGACACCAGTATGTAGATGCCAAAGGATATTAGCACCAGAGCCAGCAGCTGTAAGCATAAAAAAAAAAGTAAATAAAATCGCAAGCATAATAAAATTGAAAATAAATTATCAACATCTGAAAAGGCAACTCCAAAACTTTGTGCCACTTTTATGTTTTTGACCTTAGCCAAGCGGAAATGTCGTTCGACACTCAAAGGACTCTATTCTGTGTGTGTGTGTGTGTGTGTGTGTGTGTGTGTGTGTATGTGTGTGTGTGTGTGTGTGTGCTATCATATTAATGGAGGCTCCAGCTACTGGCTACATAGGCGTCCGCCAGACTAGTCTGGCTGGCGTCAGGAAATACGTCGGCAGCAGGAGCAAAAGGGGAGCCAGGCAGCCCACAAGCATAACAAGCGCGACTAGAAAATACCCTGTAGACTATAAACGCTGTATGGCTATAAAACTGTAAGCATTTGCAGAAAGCCTGGAATATATGTAAATGTAATTCTACTAGAGACAAACAGACAGACAAATTTGATACAGCCCGTCGCGCGCCTTAGCTACAGGGTATCTTAGCTTGCAAATGTGCGGCAATGGCGTGTTGGCTTTGTTAGTTGTTTGTATTCTGTCAGATTTGTTGTCATATGAGCAATAAATTCGGACAGGAATAAGCATATTGACAAGGTCCTTTAATTAATACAGACACAAAGCACAGTAAATATTGATGTAAAGGACGCAGAGCTAGAAATTGCTTGCAATAAATATATATTTGTTTAATTTTAAATATTATCTATATATAACTTGAGTAGTTTCTTTTAAATTTAACAATTCTTCAAATTTGGTAAATATTTTTATTAAATTGATTTTATTTGATAACTTTTTTAAATAGATGAAATGAGTTAAGTAAAAGCTTGAAGTTTTAGACATAAAACTTAGAAATGTTTTAAATAACAGTTTATCAATTTTAAAAGCAATTATATTTATCTATGATTCAATATTATTATCTTAGATTAATATGAAAAACAGGTATTTATTCTATGTGCATGTGAGAATTTTGTGCACTCAGATAAGCCAACTTTGAAGACCTATAAGTTATAACAATAACAAATCAAATGAGAGCGCTGAAAGACTCGCAGCTGATGTAAACCATATTTTATATACATATATATACATAGATCTATATACAAAGATCTGGTATATAGCATGTGTTTCATTCTCGGCATTAGCTTGTTATTAAATGTGTAAAATAAACTAACAAACGAAAAACATGTGCGCTAATTTTGTATTTACATTGATTTGGAACGGGTTCAATGACAAACTTAAAGGCGAATCTATTTAAAACTATTTAAAAACCTATTCGCTTAGGCTCCACTAGGTCTATTTGTTACTGAAATTCTCTCTTTTCCTAAAAGCTATCCATAGGTAAACCCTATATTTAGCTGAAGGAAGAGATAATATTGCCCGACATACAAAGACTTTGGCGATAATACCTGCGATAATGTATGTGTCATAGTTGACTTGGTTACTATATATCTCTATATATAAAACTGTTTGTCCTGATTGACTGACTGACTGACTGACTGACTGACTGATTGGTGATCAACGCACAGCCCAAACTGTAGGAGCTAGGAAGCTGAAATTTTCACTGTAGTTACCTTATGTGAGGAAGTTACACGTTAAGACGGGGTTTCGGCAAATTCCACCCGCAAGTGTGGAAAAATCGGGAAAAACATTTGTATGAAACTTTTTTGTTTACCATTTTCAAAGATCTTCGTTCAAATTCATTTCAAGGGATGTTTCCCACTTTTCGAAAAATTCATTCTTCCTTGGTGGAAATGGAGGTCCAAAATTTGGTGGATGTCGTTTCGTGTTCAAATTTATACCCAAGAATTTATATGAAACATCATTTGAGACCTGTTTCGCGCTTTTCGCAGAATTCAAGCTTTTCAAAGATTTTTTTGGCGGAGTTCTAAGTTTTGTTAACTTTGTGGTTTATTATCGGTTTGACACTCATTTTCAAAGATCTTTATTAGAACTTATTTGTCACGCCTTCGCAATTAGATTGAAAATGCGGGTCTGCAAATTTTTAATTCGGCTCAAGATTTTTACCACACGACTAATAAGGGCGGAAACCTCTGATTTAAATATATTTAAATAGAAGGGGAGAGTTAAGTGGACACATAGGAAAGGTAATATCTAAAATTTTAAGCACAAAACGCTTGACGGGCAATGCCGGTCAATATATTGTCTATAGCATGTGTTTGTTCTCGGCCTTAGCTCGTTATTAAATTTGTAAAATCAAAACTAACAAACGAAAAACATGTGCGCTGAATAATTTAATAGTATAGAGATTGATTTGGAGCGGGTTCAATGATAAACTAAAAGGCGAATCTATTTACAACAATTTAAGAACCTATTAGAGCAGGCCCCAGTAGGTCTATTTATTTCTAAAATTCTCTTGTTTCCTTAAAGCCATTCATAGTTAACCCCTTTATCTAGCGGAATTAAGAAATAATGTTTATTGTATATGCGATATTATTTAATAAAATGCTGACGATTGCGTGTTTTCTATGCTGTCAGGCAAAGAGTTTGGCGATAATACCTTGGCACGGCGATAATGTATGTGTCACAGCGTCATAATTGGCTTGGAACACACACACACACACACGAGCACACACACACATGCACACATGTGTGTTGTTGTGGAAGAAAATTGATTCAAGTGGCCAGTTTTATACTTTCATTTACGGCAAGTCAGACAAAACGCGCCAATTGGCCGAATCAACAAACAAACAACAAATGCGACAATTGATGCCAATTACATATTTAACTTACCGTACAAAGTATTTGCAGGGCATACGCAAACACCTTGTAACCCGATGTCGAGGCCATTCTATATCCAAAAAATTTGAAATATAACAGCTATACTCTATCCGACGAAAATACTTGAAATTCCTATTGAGCCACTTGCGCAGTGCAACCCAAAAAAACTTGTTTTCTTCTTTTTTATTTTCCCCCGCGAGTCGCTCTTTTACGCTCTTTCGCTTAGCGGGACTCTCTCTCTCTCTTGAGACGTGTTGATGATGCCTTTTGTTTTTATGAGATCATGGAGCAATCTTTGCAGCACCAGAGTCTGATCTTCGCGATGATTTATCGAAATTTTGCACAAATCAATGGAACATGACGTCTTCACTATTTTTATATGACAATCACAAACTCGAACTGGCTGCCACACTAAACGCTTTGCATATGGATATAGGCATGTTGCATAGCTGCGTCTATATACTGAATAGATATATATGTATGTGTATATATATAAACAGATCTATCGAGAACTTGACGCGACGTTTTACTCAGACTGTCTGGCACAATTTCGCTGCTTCGCGTGCGTCGAATAACTGAGCGTGCGAGACTTTCTGTTTGCGCGCGTTCCCAGCCGGTTGCTGAGCTTCGTTGAGCTTTTTACTGCTAGCACATGATGAACAGATAACGCTCACCAGCATGACGTCACAAATGCAACCAAGCAGAAGAGAGGGCGGGAGAGAGAGAGAGCGAGAGAGCTGGCCAAGGCACTCACACACAGTTGCTGGGTAAGTTAACCTTACTTTTTGTATGCTCAGCAAAGCTTTTATTCAAAAAATAAGCTCAACGGGCGTTAGCTACACAGCTGCGCATAAATATAAGAACACTTTTGTTTATATTTTAAACAACTGCATTTTTATTTGGAATAATAACAAACTCACGAATGTAGTTGTACACGACAAATAGGCAGCCAAGGCCAACAGCTATTGAAAAATAAAACCAAGTAATGAAAGTTTTAACCAATTTAAAAAAAATCATCTTACCTTTGACAAAAACACACGTGTTGAACGTATATGCATCAAATGTGTAGTTGTCTCGCGACACAAACCAGATTTCCCAGCTAAAGGAAACGCACATCATGAATATAGTTATTGAAATCCATGCGAAAAGCACACTTTTCATCTAAGCGCAAGAAATTAATTCTAAATAAATGCATATTCACTTTTTAATACATTTTTTGTACCTGAACTTTAAAGCAAACGAATGTCAAGCCGCAAAGCGCATTAAAGAATTCGTTTATGGCCTGTATTACGAACATGGATGCCGCAGAATCTGTTGAGAAATATAAATGTGATTAGTTTTAAATGGGAAGTATAAATAGATCTACCTGGATCATCTTCGAAAATATTGTCATCTATAAACACAAGTTCCTTGATGCATATATATGCTAGGTAAATGTTATAGGACATAAATCCCATAAAGAGCACAATCATAAAATCGCGACACATCCTAACTGAGCCCAGGCAAATTTCAAATGTTCCCAATATTTGGCCACTGTCTGGATCAAATAAATAAATTAATATATATAGAGAAAGTTTGAATGGAGGAATTATGACCATAATTAGTAATATGGTCAATAATTATGGAGAATGTCTTTACAATTTGACCAAAATTTTTATTTAATGAGCAACTTAATTAAAGTACTACAAAATCGTCCAATATTCATTTAATTATTTAATATATAATAATAAGCTCTTAAAGCTTATAAAAAAGAGTCCTCAATTTGCTTCCTCCTCGCTATCTAAGGAGGCAGAATCCTTATAGACTGCTAGGGAGATGAAAAACAGCATAACTATAAAGATATATGCAAGAAATATATCAATATTTTCTAATGATATTAATAATAATAAAAATAATACCCATTTCGAAAACTGTGATCACCGCGGAGATCAAGTAAATAAACGACCAGAAGAAGAAAAGCATTTGTACAAAGCACATAATTAGCAATATCGAAGAGCCCAGAAAGAAATTTCTCATAAATTTGCTCTGCAAAATTAGATATTATAGCAAAATAATTGATGGTAAAAAAAAGATAACCCACCTTTAAATGAAAATGGCTAAAAGTCAAGCCAATCAAGCAATGCATGAATGATGCGGCCTGAATAAAGGCCAATAAACCGTTTACAGTTGTCCTACTTTCAGATGCTGGAGAAGGGAATATGGAAGTTTAAATTAAATATACATCTCAAATATAAATATCCCTTCACAATTACCAAATGTTGCTGGTCGGTAATAAATTGGCACAACGCAGACGAACGTGAACACGTAAATAATTGCATATGACGACATGATGACAAAAGCAAAGCATGTTAATATAGAACGCATTCCATGCATAATTCCGAATAGATCAAACTGGGAGTACTGCCAACTATGAGGAAAACACGCAGCTCTTTTGGCTAAACAACAATTGGAAATCGAGGTATCTATAAAGTATTAAGGCGATTAAAAGCTTAATACATTAGCTATAATTGTGTCTAATAATTATAATTGTTATGATGATGATAATGATGATTTGAAGTGCCAACATTAGGCAGTAGATTCCGCCGGATGGGGATTGGTATCGACTGCAGGTGTGCGTAATATACGAAAGAAATGGTATGCAACAAATCCTAATATAAAGACAAGCGAAGCTGCAAGGCATTCAAATATAACATTTAAAAATTTAAAAAAATATCAAATATATCTAGACTGCAAGCCTTAATGAAGTTCGAACCAGCGCCCTGCCTGAAGATTCAATTCAAGCAGCTGATCATCAAATTCAAATATTGATTTGTATCTTTGGCAGGGTTTTCGAACTTAGGATTCGATTCAAAGTAAGCAACAAATTTAGATTCGAGCCGGCTTGCAGCCTTGATAAATCGAAAGCATACCAATGCCAGCAATATTCATCTGACTATCGGCAGCAGAATAGAATGGACTGTAGCATATGTAGATAAAGTAGCTGCAACATGTGAGAACCGCGTGGAGTAGAAGCCACCATTGCAAGTAGTAGATGCTCTAGAGAAGAAAGTTACTAAAACTATATATATATGATATATACACACGACTTACGCTGCGATCGGTGAGTATAATAAACGGTGCGGCAAACACTGTCGGCAGATACAGGGTATATATGGCAAAGGTGCTGTAACAGTCGTCGGGATATGCGCCTTATATTGCGGCCATTATTAAAAAAGCCAATTTATCAGATTTATATGGCAATTGTTTTCGTACCTGACTGGCGGCTATTGCAGTCGTCGTAGCAGCGCAGCACGAATGTGACAGCTATAAAAAGCACTATAAAATTATAGAATAAGGAAAATGTAAGAGCTGCCACGCCCACAAATTTCCAGCCCGTGCACATATTAGGCGTTCTTTGCGTCGAAAAGTCGAATGCAGAAAGCAAACCCTAGCTGGAAAGGCAGCTACTATATACATACATAGACATCTATATAGCGCATTATATTAATAACTGAACATTAGGTTTACAAATTGGACATCATCCATTTGAAATAACTCCAACGACGGATTCGTCTATCTGACTGAACTCCAATATTGAATTGCATTCATTCACATTCAGAAACTCTTTCTCGTAGTCATAAACTGTTTTGAAGGCGAGCAGAAATATAACTAAAAACGAAATTAGGAAATTAATTAACAGCTTAAATAATTGATTAACATACTCAATATTAAGATTGTGAGCGCTTTCGTAATTGTCGCAAGACGTTCGCCAGATATAAGCAAAATATATAGAAAGCCGTAAATGAAGCACATGGAAAATACCAGCCATGTGCTGATTACACATCGAATCTGCAATCAAATCGATTTTTAGATTATGGAGCATATAATTGACCGCATTTGAACCTTGCACTTTTTGCGGGCCAAGAGCAGTCCAGCCCAGCCGTGCACCACAATTATGCAATTGATGGCCATAATAAGTAGCATTAACATCTTTTCCTCTGGCAACAGCAGACTCTCAGATTATTTTCTTTATTTTTATTATCATATATACCCACCATATATATTCCCTGTGAGTCCAAGAAGACAATCAACTGTTGAATACACAAAGAAGCTCAGCAGAAAACTTGTGCCAGCAGCCACAACAAGAGCTGTGAATAGAATACAACCACGTGCTGCACCCATTTTATGTTTACCACTAATCAAATACAACTGAAGAGCAGCAAATGCTCGGAATTATAATAAACCTTCCCCAATTGATGGATTAATAACATTAGAGTACAAAGTGTGTCGTTAACAGAAGGTTCTCATACAGATATTCGAACAGTTTGATAACAGATATTCGTTTGAAAGTAAAAAATACTTATCTTAAGTTATTTGATACCCATTTATAATATATTTATCTTCCGACTTTACTAAAGTTCGATCCCTAATCATTGGTGATCAAAATGTATCTTTATCTGAAAGTTCTCGTACTGATAATTGAACAGTTTGATAACAGATATTCGTTTGAAAGTAAAAAATATTTATCTTTAATTATTGGATACCCATTTATAATATATTTATCTCCCGACTTTACTGAAATTCGATCCATTGGAGATCAAAATGTATCTTTATCTGAAAGTTCTCAAACAGTTTGATAAAAGATATACGTTTGAAATTGAACATTACCCATCAAATTCATATATGTCTTCCGACCTCACGGGGGTTCGATCCCTAATCATTAAAGATCAAAGTGTGTCCTTAAGAGTAAGTTATCATCAAAATAATCGAACACTTTTTAATAACTGATATTCGTTCATCCAAGTTTATTTTATATGGTTTATACTAATGTCTACCAACTTCACGGGAGTTCGAATAATCATTAGAGATCAAAATGGGTCGTTAACAGAAAGTTTTCATCTAAAAATCGAGCAGTTCATTGACAGATTTTCGTTGTAAAATAAATATCCAAGTTTATTCTTTATATATTTATGTCTTCCAACTTCTTTATATATTTATATCTTCCAACTTCTTTATATATTTATCTCTTCCGACTTCACGGGAGTTCGTTCCCTAATCATTGGAGATTTAAATGTGCCAATAACTGAAAGTTCTTATACTATCGAACAATTTGACAACTGAAATTCGTTTTAAAATAAACATAAGCCAGGTACATATCTTATAGTTCTTATATCTGCCAACTTCCCTTGGGTTCGATTCACAAACTTCGAGCATTTTTATAGTGACAGGAATTTTAAAACAAAATCAAGATAGCTATCAAACCTTGAACAAAATAGTGTTCCTTATATAATTATAATTGTTTTAGTTTTGACCAAATAATTGCCAGCGGCAAAAGCCCAGAAATATGTATGCGCGCACATATATGCACGACGACCCCCTAAGGCTGCTACCCGAAATGAATACACAATAAACTTATCGCATAGGTAGATATATATGTCAATTGCTTGGTAAACACAATGTTTAAGCAACGGAAGGTCAAAACTGTTGCTGCCATGTCAACGGCTGGGGGCACAACAAAAGCTGCTGCTGCTGCTGCTGCTGCAGTTCGAGAACAATTTGCATGGCAATTGCGTACAGTACACATGGGAAATGGGT